CTGACTCAATAACTGTCAAAGATTTCCTTCTAAGCTTAATGAGCTTCAAATAGCATCTTACTCTAGCAGTTCACATGCTCAATACTGCAGTCTGAAAGCAGTTCAAGTGTAATCACATCAAATGAGGAAAGAAGTATAGCATTCACAGATGATGTGAAATCAATTAAAAAAGCATCATTAAATTTCACAATTGTCATACTCTCTGTCTCTTGTGAACTTTCAGATCAATGAGATTGAGAAAAACAGCATATAGCTTGAAGAGTATGTAAAGCTTTTCATTGCTAGTGAAGAATGAGAATGAGAAAATACTGATCATCACACAGTCATGAGACAATGAGATCTTCAAGAGAATTGATGCTGTAAGACAATGCTGCAAGACAATGAGATCTTTGAGAGAATTAATACTGTAAGATGATGAGATCTTCAAGAGAATTGATGCTGTAAGACAATGAGATCTTCAAGGGAATTGATGCTGTAAGACAATGAGATCTTCAAGGGAATTGATGCTGTAAGACAATACTGCAAGACAATGAGATCTTTGATCTTTTTTTAACTTCACTGATCTTTTGTAAACATCTGTGAATTTCTTTGAAGTTGTGTGAACTTCTGAGCCTATCAAATTAGTTAATGAGTGAGAAGATAAATTCACTATATTGAAGAAGAAATGAATAACACTATACTGATATTTTTGAATCTTTTTTTTCTTTCTTTCTCTTCTTCTCTTCTTCTCTTCTTCTTTTCTTCTTCTTTATGATTCAAAAAAATCAATATGACATCTCTCTCTCTGACAACATTGATGTAAATGCACTCACCCTGCTTTCTCATCAGTGAAAAGAACATACTTACTGCTGCTGCAGCTATTTCACATGAACAACTTCACTCTGGCAGAGTTCATCACTCACTGTATGTGTCTATTCAGCATGAAAAGTATAATGAGAATGAAATGAAATACTAACTCTGACAATTAGTTCTTTCCCCTGTGCCTGTGCTCATGTCTGTGTCCACCCTTGCTTCTCTGTCCTCATTCTCATTCTCACCCTCGCCTGTGAGAATGAGAGTGAGAAAGTGTCTGAGACTTCTCTCTCTTCTTTGAAGAATGAAGACAACAAGCTGAACTTGTTCAGATAGACATGAAAAGCTCTCTCTAAATGAGTGCAATATGACAAGAGAATAAGAAGCTAATATTGTTGTATAGTAGTTCTTGTTCTCATCTTTCTCTCTCTTTCTCAGACTTCTTCTCTTCTCTGTTCTTTGCAGAGAAAGAAGTTTCATCAGAATCAATCAAGTAAGTAATATGAATATGAATGAGATATATGTGATAGAGAAAGAATCAATCACTGACATGTCACATTAGCTTTCCCTCTCTCTTCTCAGAGTCATTATGGCCCCCCTCACTCCCTGCACTGATGAGCCCACCTTCCCCGCCCTCTCAGTCATTCTCTGTGTTGAGCACTCCCTCTCCCCTGCTGCCGCCACCATCATCAACAACATCATATAACATCTCTCTCTCTCTCAACACTTCATTCACCAGCTGTGTCTGTTGAGAGCAGGCACAGCTGACAAGCCAGCCAAGACAGGATTGAAATTGAATGATGAGTAAGAGCTCATCATTCTATCAGCCTCAGAAATCAGAGAAATGATGATCAGTCTCTCACAAGGAGTTCCAGTGCTTCTCTTCACAGAAGCAGAGAATGTGAGATCATATTGACTGAATAATGAAGACAGAGCTGAGTGAGCAACTGCTGGGGAAGAACAGGTGTGCTGTCTGTCAAGAGAATAATGAGAAATGTTGAGTGTACTCTGAGAAGAGGAGAGCTCAGATAGCCAAGCTCAGGAATTCTTGTTCTCACTACTGAATTGTTGCATGCAAGGGCGGATGTAGCATCTTCAAACACAAGCTCAAGAATCCCAGTGCATTCTCACTGATGCGGTCACATCAGTTGCTGTCAAAGAGGTCATCTCCTCCTTCACTGAGAAGCAGTGCTCTGGCAGTTTAGATTCTTGTTTTATTTATACTGCTCTGCTTTATGAAGAAGGTTTCAAGTAGAACTCTAATAAATAAGTAATTCATACAGATGAACATGTTGAAGATTCTATACAGATATTCTTTATAAGTATCAGTTGTAAATATAAATTAGTTGATGTTGAAAAATGATATCTCAAAAATAAAATTTGTCAGATATTAGTCATATTTATTTTAAATCTTGATATTTGATTGACTCACAAGTTGACAGAATAATGCAGAAGTTCTATTATTAATATATTTATCAGTGAAAATGTAACATTGTATATCAAAGAAAGATAAAGTAAGTAAAGCTTCAGTATATTCATTAATTTTAGTTATTCTTCTTCAGAATTGTTTTCAAAGTATCAGATAGATTATTTACAGTAGATAAAGATAGTGTATTTTCAATGAAAATAGAATCTTGCTCTATATTATCATTGAATTCCTCAGAATAAGACTCAACTTCAGTATTAATAATCATATCATTCAAATTCAAGTTCATTGTAATCAACTGCTGCTGAATTCACACTTGATTAAAGTGCTCAATCTTCTTCTTCAGATCTTCCACTTCAATCAAAAGTATATTCAAGAAGTCAAACATACATTTCTTTGACAGTAAAAGTAAATCTCAAGATAAGATATAATCATTCTTCAACAGACTTCTAGCAGTAGAGAATATCTCAAGCTTAGTAACAGCACTTGTATATTTCTCAGTAAGTGAACACTCAAAGATAGACTCTAAAATCTACTATAGCTGATGAACCCATGTATTTGACAGACAGACTTAATCAAATATAAGATAGATATTCTTTGTTGAATTTTTATAGCATTTCATCTTCAGCTTACAGCTATCATTGAGATGTTTCATGTCTAGATTAATTGCTTTGAAGAAGTCAGGTTTTTCAGACCAGTTGACAAGACTCACAGTCATAATTACTCAATGCAGAGAAGAGGTTTTGACAGATTGAAGTATTCAAAAATAATGAAGCATCTCAGTGACATAATTATGTTGATCAGCACTAAGAAAGAAGATAATCAGAGATGAAATGAAGTACTCAAGAAGTTCAATATCATCATGCTTAACAGCATAGTGTATTCAAATAAATAATTCACATTCTCAGAGAAGATAACACATGATACAGAATTCAATATCTTAAGTAAGCTGAGAGATTTGAGAGTTAATTTCATTTCAGACATCAAGAGTAAATACTTTGATGTATATATCTTCAATAAGCTGAAGATACTGTGAAGAACTAAGCTGTTGTATAATAGAATCAATATCTTCTGAGCACTCAAGATTGCTAACTGAATAACCTCAATATTGCATGACAGTATAAAATAGAGCAAGACTTTGAGATGCAAAGCTCTGAGAAATCACTGACTTAAGAAGATGATATTTCAGATTGACAGCAGTCATAGAATTTCAGTTCTAACAAGTGAGATTGAACTGAATACAGTGATGAGCCTTTTCAGAGACTTCAGCTTCAAAATGAGTACAGATAATGATAAAGAGTAGATTCATTTAAATATGAAATCATTCAGAAATAGAATGAAGCCAGTTATACTGTTCAAAGATATCTGTAGATTTTGACTGCTTCATCTTGATCAACTGAATGAGTTTTATGATCAAAGCATCTTCATACACTGAAAAGAGATGAGTTGAAAATACTGTATAATCTCTTGATAAATCAAGAAAATCATTAAATATCTTCTCATGAACTCTCATAGTTTCTGCAATAGTGTTCTCATTTTCAAAAATAGCATTCAACTGCTGAAAACGCGTTCTATGCACAGAAAGTGTATTAATAACAGACATTTGAGATAATAAATCATTTGCAGTACTGAAAACACTTTTAACCTCATTATCATGAATCTTTTGAACAGCATCTGAAATAAGACATGATGTTATTTGCTTTCAAAGTTCATTATCATTGTCTATCACATCAGATGCATCAATGATTTCTTGCAGTGTTAGCAGTCTTATGAAATCATGCATGATCTGAGTTAGACCAGTTTCTGAAATGTCAGGGGAAATAATCACAGCAGCAGTAGTCACAGCAGTCATAGAATCATTGTGTCTGATTATCTCATCTCATACAGTCTCCTTGAAGTTTATATTATCATAGACTATAACAGCTCAAGAATCTTTGACAAGCTGCTGAAGTTTAATCTAACAGTAAGAATTAGTCAAGTGATTGACTCAGAAGTTGATAGAAGTTCAAAGAACATGTCAGAAAATGACAGATGTTATCAGAGATTACTAGAAGTTTGAGATGTTAGATAGAAATATTAATAAGTTAAGAATATTAAGTCATATCTTCTCTTGTTTAGCAATTTTCATCATCAATCTATTTCTCATCACATAGCTGTGACAGAGTTCAAAGCCAGAAATGATTTCTATCACTCATCATTTTACTCTCAAGTCATGAAAATATGCAGAGAGAATAGAGCTGAAGAAGTTTGAGTTTTTCAAGAAATAAGAGTGATATATAATACTTATAATAACAAACAGTTATTTGATAGCTGTTGTTTCATCTGAGTCTCATTCATAGCTCTTTTAATTGATGCATTTATTTTTTAGAACAGGAGTAAGTAGATCAAACCAGGTTGACACATCAGTCTGAATAATCTTAAAAGCAGCCTGGAAGTCAATGATATTCAGATCAGAATCATGATTGAATTTTGTAAAGAAGAGAGTGTTAATAAGGCATTTCAGCTCCTATTTAAGCAAGACAGTATAACATTGATTATCATTGAATATCCCTGCTTTGAAAAGTGCTGAATATAGTGCATTTCATCACTTCATAGAAGTACTATATCATCAATAAGTCAAGATATCAGGACTCTGAATCCAAGCCTCTATAAAGGCCTTCATTCCTCAACTGTTTTGCTGTAATGTTCTGACAATGTGAGATAATTTCAACCATCTTTTCTGCCAGTTATAAGGCATTGTAGGCAGGTGCTGTGAGCCACAGTGATTCAATTGTGAACAAGCTCATGAGGTATCAGTATCAGTATCAGTGATCTCAAATTCTGAAGAAGTATCAATAGATTCAAGCTCTGTTAAGTCACTGTCTGATGTGTCATATTCATCATCTATATTGTTGAGAGACTGTAGTGATTGTAGAGAGAATTCATCTTCAAGTGATGAAGAATATTGACTGAAGTGCATCTGACATTGAGTGTCTTGAGATTCAAAAGACACACTGTCTTTTATCAATGATTGTGACATGATGAGAAGAGATAGTGAGTTGTAAAATAGCAGAGATGATAGCAGAATGACTGAGAATTCAAAAAATATCAGTTTAGTGATGATCAGGCAGATATTTAGAGTAGATGTATGATTTCAAAGTTAATTGAATATTTTGTATGAGTGAAGTTGATTTTCCACACATGATGGAATCATTTCTTCTCAGACTCTCTACGAGATATTAGGTTGCGAGCACATGTGAAGTCTCTTATTGGTCCAGAAGTTAGCAGGACTTGGCAGAAGTCTAAAGGAGTTTAGTTGGTCGCGCTAATCCGAAAATATCGAGAAGAGAGGCTGAGCATGCTGAGATAATGCGGAACAGTTGATTGAAGAGCATCAAACGTTTAGCTATCCAGTATATACACCAGGGCTGTGTCTCCAGTCAGATCAATCTTCATCATGGCTACCGATCATGGCAGGCCGATTGTCCCGCCAAGGGTTCTCAAAACTGACTATCCCGTATGTGTTTCTTTTTCCATGTTTCCCCTCCGCCTCTATCTGCAATTTGCTAACCCGGCTCTGGCTCCTTAGGTTATTGATACGGATCCGTACGCTCGCTCCAACCCCAATACCGATTCTCGATAAGCAGTACTTCTAACATTGATCGCAGTCATGTAAAACGAGTCTTCGGATATGCCCGGCCATCCGATTATGTCATTGGTGCTGGCGTCGGGTCAATGTCCCCAGCTCTATTTTGGCTGATGGAACGAATGCACCCGGCCAATGCCAGCCCAGGAACCTTTGGCAAAGCTATGCGATTGGCAACGGCAATTGGCTTCTTCGGTGGCTTGTTCACTGTATACAACACATCATGTAGTATGTTTGCCTTTCTTTTCAATGGTATCTTAGCAGCTTCGGGCATCTCCAAGTTAACCGCTCCTCTGTTCTGCCACATCACAGAACGCTTCTACGGCTTTACGGAAAATTCGCGAGAGGTCGAGATGGATATGCGTGAGATGGTTGACAAGGTTAAGAAAGGAGAGCCGTTGTACGGAGTCTCGTCGCTCTCACCTTATATGCAAGGAGTCGCAGCTCGGAATTCGCGATATTCCTCTCTATTCATCCATGTCCTTCCTTGGTTCAATTTTGTGAATCATGATCAGGTATCTATTCCCAGGCTCCTACGGAATTTTGTGTAGTTTAATTTGGACACCGGCTAACTGTTCGGATTAACAGCATGGCGTGGATACTGCGAAGTACTATCAACAAGCTGAGCGAGAACTAGAAGCAGAACGCCAAAAGACGGCATCCACATCGTAATGTTCTGTCTCAAACGATAACTTGTCCAACAGCTCTCAGTCAAATTAATTTCCTGTTGTTCCTGCGTCTTTCAATCTTCTTCCCTCTTGTGATTGAAAAAAAAAAACTATTGTATATATTACAGCGGATTAGGGTTCCATAAATTTCATATTCGTTTTCAGGAAACGCAAAAAGAATGGCGCAAGACGGTGCTCACAAGCTGCATTATGGAAGGTCTTATGGCCGGGGCAACATCCCCGCGAATTCCATCCCCGCTCCCACATCACCAAAATCATCATCCTTCAGTTCCCGATCCTTTTTTGGTTTTGGGTTAGGCGCTAGGGTGAAAGATTAGTTCTGAAGGGGAATAAAAGGAAAAACTAGGCCAATTTCTCATTATGTCATTGAATATTGATTACCACCTACCTCTTTCATTTTCTTGGATATAAAATCGGCGTAACAACATGATTGCTTCTTTCCTGAAAAGCCCTCCTGTAAGCCCATACGGCGGATCAATCCCCGGGCTACCAGAAATGATACCGGGTAGTTTCAGTAACGATTTCCTGTCAGCTGGAGAAAGTGGATATGGACTCACTCAGAGTGCAACTTGAGAACCCCTCCAGTCCCTCCAAACCGTTCATTCGCGCACCCGAAATAGACATGCCGGATCTGGTATTGTCTTAACGCGGATGCACACATTATACATGGCTCAACAGTGACGTAGAGGTCGGTTTCACGAAATATACTTCGTGGATGACTTCTCAACACTTCTTCAATGGCTAGGAATTCTGCATGTCTCGTACCCTTTTGTCGAATCCAGTTAGTATATGTATTATATATATTCATATACTTCCGACAAACTAATTTTAAACTTGAAAAGCTATGCTTGGGAGCTTACGTTCATAGATTTATTCGTGTCGTTCATACCAGACCCGATAACTTCGTCATTATGGACCAGCACGCAACCTACTGGGGTTTCACCGCTGGCGAGAGCTTCTTCACCCTTTTCATTCATGTGGGATTAGCAAAGATTGAATCAGAAGAACAAGCACACTGAGAACACACCATGTCAAGGGCTTTTTTCATAAAAAAAGCATGTTTTTGGGCATCATTGGCAAACCGTATGCCAGGGCTGTTCTGTTCCATCTAGCCAGAAGAGCTCCAGCTTTGCTGGTTGCTCTTGCACTGTAGCTCTCCTGTATATCAATCCAGCTGTTTGGTTTCAACTGAGATGCTGAGACGAGATGCACAGACAGATCGGATGTAATTTAGATACGGTTAAATAACTAACTAGTGGTTAACTTACGGTAACTAGTTATGTAAGTTACTGTATTACATAACCACTATCAGCATCGACCTCCTCACTGATGCAGAAGCAGGATCAGGCTCTGCCATTCAAATGTTCAGATATAATCATAAACACGCGTTTCATATATATATTTGAATGTGTTCTTGTAGCCCTCCCGGCGGGTATTCCGAGTTATCCCAACCCTGTTTGTCCCGATGGACCGAAGCATTTTAAATGGCGGCAGAAAAGGCACGAAAGCTTCAAGGCCCTGTAGTCGCTGAGCCAGCAGCCTCTTCGATTTTGGCTGCCCACCTTGCGCCTCATCTGTCTCCTAGCACAAACCAGAGACATGCAATCAGCCGGGAAACTTTCTCCCAGCTACGCCAAGAGATTTTGGGCCAAGATGAAGGGGGCCAATCTAATCTGGAAGAGAACATCACCGATGTGCATAGCTTAATATGCGTGGTGATAAAAGCTGGTCTACAGCCGGCTTTCAAGTCCCAAGTTTTGGGGGAAGAATTGGAGGGACAGATCCTAGACTGCCTTGACATTATACGTTTGGCAGTGCAGAGATCACCTCAAGTCCTCCACGAGATATCTGACCCTGAGATCCTTGGGAAGAACGATATTCATGCTCCCCTGTTTGCCTGGCTTATTCACGAGCTTTTCTCTCTCCTCTTCGTATGGGGTCAATGCTCTATCAAAGACAAGATTTATAGCCTCCTATCTACCATCTATGTCTCTCAATTTAGGGGGCCCCAACTGTGGCATTCGTCCCGGTCAGTGCATACACTGATTCAAGCTTGTACTGGCGGTTAGTTGCTTCAACAAATCTATAATTTCAAGAGTCAGACGTTGACATGAATATCGCAGATATACTATATTCTCTGGAGGCCATTGGCACTTCAGAATCCGGGCGTAATGTCGCGTTGTATTTCCCCGGACCCTCGAGCATCTTATTGAACTGCCTAGACAAACTGTCTCTCCCGCGTTCGATGTTCTGCAAAAGGATCAAGCTAGGAACCCCTAGAGAAGCTGTTAAGTTCTGCCTTCAACTTTTCGAGGCGGTAGCCTGCCATCCGTTTCACACTTCCCTTCCAGCATCCGCAGCAGCCAATCTTCGCCGGGTGCTTACTTGGGTACTCCACAGTCAACAACAGCTATGGACGGTTATGCTCGAATGGTTTGAGGTGGCCAAGATCACACAGGTAGAAGAGCAGTTGATGAACCTTCTTGATTTTATCACGCTCTCGCGCAAGTTATACTCACATGCCTTGAAATTATCGCAAGGGTTGTCGCTAGACCAACAAGCAAGACATATATGGCTACAGTGTGGAATCGATTTGCTGAACTCAGCAAAACTTGAGCAAAACGCAGATGTCCAACAAGCACTAAGCCAGCTACTAAGCGATGCTATACGACTTTCGCTCACTTCCCCTGAAATTGGCCGTTTTATTGAGGATCACTTCTTTGAACCCCTATTTGATCGAAGGAAGGATGAGACAGGATTTCGAAATTTGCACCAGTCATTTCAGGTGAGAGCTATTTTATATCCACATACTTACATTTTCTATAGTGGCTAAGGGAAATTGCAGATGGTGATTATCAGGATCCTAAATCGGGAATATGGCGTCCCAAAAGACGTGATTGATGCAAAACTACTCGCTCTCCCGAATCAAAGCCGTGATTCGATCACGACGTCCGCCCGGAAATCTCCAAGCCGGCCCATTCTCGAGGATATTAACCCTTTTGACAGCGATCGAGCACGGAAGAGACCCCGGCTCTCTAACATAGAGGAAGATATACCCGTTGCAGACCTTGTGCACACCGTTACAACCACTGTATATCATCTGCTTGCTTCTCATCCAACAACGGGTACGGACGGGTTAAGCCAAATTGTTTTGTATGTTTGAAATCAATTGACTTGTCAACCGATTAGGAGTACTAACTTTCTTTACAGAGATACTTTACCCAAGCTGCCGGAGGAAGACCAGTGTGAAGTTTTGGCTAAGGTTGGACGGATTGCTTGTGCTGGCGCGGGAACTTTGGTGATGGAACATCCTAACAATGTTGCTGGGCCACAATTCCGATGTCTGATATGTGACACCATTTCACCAAAGCCTTCCACCAATAAACCTCGGAAGAGCTTACATTTCGGAGAAGTATGCAAAACCATGATTGAAATTATACCCATTCTTCAAGGATCTAGGAAACCTCGAATAGCCGCCATGTTTGCGATTAGGAATGTCGTAATGCATGATCCGAAAAGTGAAAACGTTGGAATACTTACGTCCCCTCTGGGCGAATGGTGCCTTCAATCTTTGCGCAGCTCCCTTAGAGAGTTGAGGATGGCTGCAGGGTAAGTGGATTTTCAACTATGTCCTGAGTTGAGATATATAAACTAATATTCGATGGGATAGACAAACATTACCTGCCTTTCTACGGGAAAACCTGGACTCGGATATTCGTCGAGCCAATTTCGTAACGGCTCTAGAATATTTGCAAAATGTTCTCGAAAAGGTCGACATGCCAATTCAGGAAACCTCGATTATGGCTTTGGGTCGTGTGGCAGAGTAAGCGTTCTCAGACTTCAACATGGTTCAACAATGGCTGACGCGGTAATAGAGTCTCTGGTGACGAGGAAATGAACATCATTCTTCTCCGCCTTTTCGAATATCTTGGTCATCCGAATCCATTTATTAGTGGTATTGCCTATACCGGAGTGGGTATTTCCCTTCCTTTTACCGATCCTTATTGCTATATGCTGACAGTTATTAGCTCTCCACGATTGCCCAGCGTTTAGGAGTAAGCCCAGGTGCGCTTTGTAGGCCATTCTGGAGGACTCTCTCTGTCGTGATCGTAAAGAACCTCCAAGGTCGTCCACAGATGGCTGATCAGCTCTGTGACTTGCTTGGCATGAAGGTCGATAATTTTTTGAGGCTGACTGAGGTCCATGTTCTGCCGTACCTTGTCTTGATGAGGAAGTATGACATTATAGCACGTATTGGAGCCAACTATGATGAGAAACAATCCCCTTATCAGCTCTGTACAAGAAAGAACAATTTAGCATCTATCCTTACACTGTTGTTGACTCAACCGTCAAACGATCATAACGCGATGGTTGTATCAATATTCAACGAAATGTCGCCTGAGTTCCAAGTCCACGATTTGGCAGGATGGGTTCGAGCAGAGCCAATTCTTATTGCATGCGAACTTCTCAAGGGATTGGGGGATTCAACCAAAACTGAAAGATCCAAGGTAAGGGAGAAAGCTGAATGATTCTCAACTTGCACAAGCGCTCACGTTACGATTTTAGTATCACAAAGCGCTCAAGCTTCTTGCATCTCTTACACCGCGAAAGCCAGAGCATGGAAGTGATTCTTTGAGGGGGAAAGAGCTGGTCGCCAATTTTATTGAAGAGCATGTTCTAGGGATCATTACCGAGTTCGCCCACGTCGTTAACGATTTCCAAATTCGACAACCTATTGTTGAAAAGAAGCGGAATATTATCGCCATTGGAGAGATGGTAAAGATAGCGAAAGGTAATATTACCATCGCTCTGCCACAGATTTGTGCTTGCTTGCGATCGGCGTTGGACATACCAGAGCTTTGTGACCAAGCTTTCTCATCGTGGAGTATCATCATGACTTCGCTCGACGAGGTTGAGATCGAACCTCTAATCGACCAGACATTCTCGATTATTATCAAAAATTGGGACGCATTCCAGCCGGACGGACGGGACCGAGCATTTACACTTGTTGGTCACATTTTAACTGAGCATAGAGCTGTTGTGGAAAATGTGTTTGAGACCATGCCTTCTTTATCGGCTATCCCTTCTATGGCGGATTACGAGCAAGAAATCCAGCGCTTGAAGGGACGCATGGATGTTCAAACGCGATTTAAGGCTTTCTGCCGACGATGTCAAAATGAGAACCAAGTTGTTGTTGAACAGGCGCTGAAGGAGCTTGACCAGGAACTGGTAAAAAACGAAGAATTCATTCACCGGGCCATAACCAATGAACAACCGGACGGTATTGTGGCACTGTTGACCCGTTCACTATTGGATTGTTGTTCCAAATTTAATCCCACCTCTCCCACAATAATGACCCTTTCCGCGCGGTGTCTGGGCCACATTGGATGCTTGGACCCGAATCGAATAGAATCGGTTAAAGAAAAGAAGGATATCCTTGTTTTGTCCAATTTCGATAGTGCGGAAGAAACCTTAGATTTCATCTTATTTTTCCTTCAGCATATTCTGGTCGAAGCTTTCCTGTCAGCCTCCAATACCAGAGCTCAGGGCTTCCTTGCGTACGCTATGCAGGCTTTGCTAAAGCTTTGCAATTTGGATTTGGTCATGATACCCCGCTCTCAAGACAGTCAAGCAAATGAGTATTATCGACGATGGCTCTCCTTGCCGGAGTATGTGAGAAACACGTTGACCCCATTTCTTAACTCCAAGTATACAGTTACTATTGGTGCCATTAGTACAAACTGTGACTATCCTCTGTTTTCGTCGAAACTTAGCCATCCTGAGTGGCTCCGAGCTTTTACACTTGACATGCTACAGAAGGGGAAAGGCGAAAACGTGGTTATAATTTTTAGTGTCAGCAGTAGAATCATCCGAAGTCAAGACATATCCATCGCCGCATTTCTCCTCCCTTTTGCGGCCTTGAATCTGGCGCTTAGTGGTGATCAGGATCAAAGGGACGATTTGAAGAAGGAGTTGCTGAACGTCCTCCAGTACCCCCTTCCCGAAGATAACCATCAAATCAGGGAGAACATAATTTTATGTAGCGAGGTACGTTATCTCTCGCCATTTTGGACAACGTGAAGTATACTGACGTGAAGAAATGAAAGAGTGTTTTTTCCGTCCTCGATTATCTATCTAGATGGCTCCAGGGGAAGAAAAAGGAGTATACTAGCCTCGCTGTGCCAAATGCCCATAATCATCGCATAAGCCGAGATCCGGTTCTTAGTTCATGGGAGTCGCAAATAAAGCTCGTTGAGGAGCTTCTCTCCTCTGTACCCGCGGAGATCATTTCAAAACGGGCTGTCGAGTGCAAATCCTTTTCGAGAGCACTTTTCCACTGGGAACAGTATATACAGCAACAGCAGCAGCAGCACAAAGATGACAAAAAGGCCGCCTCCCTTGAACCCCTTTATCAAAGGCTGCAAGAAATATATACTCAAATCGACGAACCAGACGGTATAGAGGGGATCTCCGCTCATCTTCATGTCCTTAATATTGACCAGCAGATACTTGAACACCGCAAAGCTGGGCGTTGGGTGGCCGCCCAGAGTTGGTATGAGCTACAGCTCAAATCAGACCCGACAAATGGTTACGCCCAGGAGAATTTGTTGACATGCCTGAAGGAATCAGGTCAACATGGTATGATAATCCCCCTTTTCACTGGTGAAACTGAATATCACCCTGACACCCAACTAGTTGTTCTTCTCAATCAATTTGATAGCCTCGAGTTGGCGAAATCTACACTGCCAAAGATGCTCCCCATCACTATGGAAGCTTCATGGTTGACTGGTAGATGGAACAAGTTGGATAGTTACGCGGGAATGGCCTCTGATCAAGCTGTCGGAGACTTTAATGTTGCAATTGGCTCAGCTCTTAGTATGCTACGGCATGGCAAGCTAGGGAAGTTCAAAGATACAATCACGAAGTTGCGCCTTAACGTCGCGAAAGGACTCACGTCAAATTCGGTGGCGTCGTTCCATGCAAGTCATGATAGCGTCCTTAAACTCCACGCTCTCACCGAAATTGAGCTTCTCACATCTCCAGCACCCAAGACCCGAGAGGATCGAATGGCGCTTTTCGAGACATTGGACCGCCGATTGGACATTCTTGGTGGTTGTATTGCTGATAAACAATACCTCCTTGGGTTGAGGCGAGCAACAATGGAATTGACGTAAGTCCCCAGCACATATGGGGCTCCTTTCCTAGTTAAGAACAGCACTGACCAGGAAAATACCAGTGGTTCGTTTGATTCGTCCGACATTGCCTCGATTTGGTTGCGTGTTGCTCGTCTTGCACGTAAAGCAAACTGCACCGAACAGGCATTCAATGCAGTTCTTCATGCTCATGAGCTTGATGATACGTCAGCTACCATTGAACACGCCAGGCTTCTGTGGAAAGAAGGCCACCATAGAAAAGCGATACAGACTCTCGAAGGCGCAATCGCAGCGAATGCCTTTACTGCACATGATTATGCTCCGTCAGAAGACACATTTGTAACGGTTGCCCCTGATCGACAGCAAAAGCAAAATATGGTTACAGCAAGGGTAGGATACATATATTGCTTCCTTTCAATAATTTGTTTGCCTTTGCATTTTGCTAACTTGGAGACAGGCACACCTACTGCTTGCAAAATGGATGGACAGCGCTGGCCAAACACAGTCAGAAGTTATCGTTCAAAGGTACAGGCAGGCTATTAAATTCCACAGTCGGTAAGTGAACTTATAACGGCCAAGTCCTTTATCTTGCTTGCAGCAACTTCCGTTGTGTATGCGCGACCTAACTCACTTTCTTTAGGTGGGAGAAAGCACATTATTATCTAGGGAGGCATTATACAAAAATCCTGGACTCGGAAAAGTCAAAGCCTTTGGGTAAAGAGGCGCAAATATAGTATGTACAATATCCAGGACGCTGGCGTACATGGCTAACACGGGTAAACCGAATAGTTTGAGCGGTGAGGCGTCTAAGCTTGTCATTGACAATTTTCTTCGCTCACTTGCCCACGGAAACAAATACGTTTTCCAGACCTTACCCAAAGTCCTGACCTTATGGTTGGAGCACGCTTCAACTGTCGACCAACCCTTCGATCCTAAGAGGGGTGACAATGAGTGAGAACCGTTAATATGCCCATCAAGGCTTTTCCTGCTGACTTTTCTCTAGGGAGTTTCAAAGATACAGTATGGCTCAGAAGAAAAAATGCCTTGATGACATGCATACGCAGTTGCGCAAATACTTTAACCGGATACCTGCTGCCTTGGTGTGTATTACCGTTGACCCTACTCATCAAGATATCCTGCTGATATTCCCAGCTCTTCACGATTCTACCACAAGTAGTAGCTCGAATTTGCCATAGCAACTCTACGGTGTATAGTATCCTCACACATATTGTGGTGAAAACCGGAAATTCATTCCCGCAGCAAGCCCTGTGGACGATTCTCGCCGTGTTGAAGTCTTCTTCCAAAGATAGGGCCTCTCGAGGCATGTCATGTCTTCAGAAGATAACCGTACGTTCATGGTTCTCGTTTACTCAATGCGACGTTGCTAATGATAACAGGAGGCAACTAAAAAAATGAAAACTGAAACGTCGGCTTCGGATCTTCGGACTATTATTAATCAAGGACAACGAATTTCGGAGGAATTGTTGAAGATGTGTAATACGCGCATTGAAGATAAGAAGACAAAAGTTAGCCTGGCGAGAAACCTTGGGTTCAATCACAGGACAGCGCCATGCAGACTTGTTATACCATTAGAGTCGACTTTGACTCCAATCCTACCGGCGAATCATGAACTAGGCTTTCTGAAATCATTCCGAGCGTTTCCCCACGACCCTATTACCATTGAAAGTAGGCAATCCTCCCTATTCAACGAGATACTATATGTCAGTCTAACTTGATATTGCTAGCCGTCCTTGACGATGCCCTCGTTCTCAACTCGTTGCAAAAACCCCGGAAAATCAATATCCGCGGCTCAGACGGGAAGATTTACAGCCTCCTTTGTAAACCGAAGGATGATCTCCGTAAGGACCAAAGGTTGATGGAGTTCAATAGCATGATCAACAGGTTTTTGAAACGCGATGTTGAATCAAGCAAGCGACGACTATGTGAGCCCCTTTTGAAAATAGAACAAAATTGCGACGGGGTGTTTTTCTAACTACGTGCTAGATATCAAAACTTACGCTGTGACTCCGTTAAACGAGGAATGTGGGCTTATTGAATGGGTTGACAACTTAAGGACTTTGAGAGAGCTCGTGATCAGGCTTCTCAAGGAAAGGGGAATCATTCCGAACGTAAGCTTCTGAGAACCCCCTTCGAGATTGTACGGGTTAAACTAATACTTTGTAGTACAATGAAATTAGGCACTATTTGAACGAAGCGTGTGCCGATTCGTCGAAGCTACCGCTTTTTACCAACAAAATCCTTGCGACGTAAGTCCTAAACTTCCCGTCCATACAAATAGAAATCACGATCTAACATCGTGTAGTTATCCTCCCGTTCTACATGAATGGTTTGTTGAAATGTTCCCTGAACCAGGCGCATGGTTTGCTGCACGCTTAAAGTATACAAGGAGCAGTGCTGTTATGTCCATGGTTGGCTATTGCTTGGGGTAAGAATGAACGCTTAGACAATTACATAAATCGTCCCCTGTATACTAAAAGCTGTTTGATAAAATAGGCTCGGAGACAGACATGGCGAAAATATACTTTTTGAGGAGGGTAGCGGCGGTGTCCTCCATGTTGATTTTAACTGTCTTTTTGACAAGGTAGGCCCTCCAAGGTCCCTATGTCTAGAACAAAGTGAGACTAGGTAATGTTAACAACTACTCCAGGGCTTGACATTCGATAAACCAGAATTAGTTCCATTCCGACTGACACAAAATATGATAAACGCATTTGGAGCATATGGATATAATGGTTAGTATTTCCAACCCTTCGTTCTCGGGTTCACAGAAATCCTAAACTAGTAGTATCCAGGACCATTCCGAAAGACCTGCGAGATCACACTTGGCTTGTTACGACAAAACGAAGATTCGCTCATGACAATTCTGGAGACTTTCCTGCACGATCCCACAACAGACTTTATTGGCAGAAAGGTTGGTTCTTCCATCACACGGCACATCGCCATCAAATCTCCCTCCTATTCCAGAAGTTGTTAAAGAACTAACCGGTGAGCTAGAAACGAACAAACCCGAAAGTTCCAGATACGCCCGAAGGTGTCCTCGAGTCTGTACGAAGCAAACTACGAGGTTTGCTGCCTGGCGAATCTGTTCCGCTATCTGTGGGAGGCCATGTGGACGAACTGATCATTCAAGCCACAAGTATAAAAAATCTGGCCGCTATGTATATAGGCTGGTGCGCTTTCTTCTGAGTTCGTTCTTTGAATGGTACTCGCCGGGACGTATCCAGTCTAATGTCGTGATGAATTTACACGGGTTTAATGACTGCTGCGTACACATGGGTATTTTTGTATTCACTATTTAAATCATACTGCTGTAATCTGAGACCGAATGTATTATTGAAACGCCATGGCTATGAAAGCCCAGCAGGACATGTAGCCCTCCTTTTCTTTGTCGCCCAAAGTTTTACATAAAGTTACAAAAATAGTTTTGGGAAACAAACAAATTAGTAGCCCTAGTGTAGGGAATTGCTACCACCTTCCACCACCATGACGGCTGCGACTTCGACTAGGACTTCTGCTTCGGCTCAAGCTTCGACTCCGGCTCCGACCACGGTCGCTGTAGCTGCTGTAACTAGAGTCCCGTCTCCTACGACGACGAGGGCTATCCCTATGAGACCTTCTGCGGGGTGGTGGCGTTCTGGAACGAGATCGCGGGGAATAGGAAGGTGAGCGGCCGCGTGGGGAGCGAGATCTCGAAAGTGACCGAGGACGATATAAATCGTGTCTTTCCATGCCGCGAGGGCCAGGAAAGCGTCGTGGGGAACCACGACGGGGCGGCGGAGAGCGATATCGACCTCCTGGCGGTGGCGGTCTTCCAGAGTCTAAGCCGCCTCGACCATAACCTCTTCCGTATGCAGGGCGGTCGAATCGCCCAAAATCACCCCTGTTTCGAGCCGGTGGAGGAGAGCGCGAAAACGTGCGGCGTGGTAGGACAATAGAGACATTGAGGACAGCACCGTCAAGTTGTGCTTCGTGCATATGTGATATAGCTGCCTCTGCATCTGCTACTTCGTGGTATAAAATATACGCGGTACCGCGGTTGGTCATAACTGCGCGCGTAACTCTTGTTAGAAGATGAAAAAATATAATACGATAAAATCATAATACTAATAAAATATCCACATCACATACAATGTGGATTCATCGGCAATTCCAAGCTCTGGATCTCTCCGTAGACCCCAAAAATTTCGCGCAGATGATTTTCATTCACATTCTTGGTTAATTTCTCCACGACAATCTAAATGGATCCGATTAGCATCAAAACAATAACGCGAAAATAAGCTGCAGAACTAGATCATATCAAACTAGGACGGGTGGGACATGACTTCATCTCTAAATCATGGTGGAACGGAGAGACAAGGAAGGACGCTACCTTCGAACTCGTTCGGGGAGGAGAGCGGCTTGGGCTTCGCGTGTAGCTTCTATCTCGATATCGACGATCGCTGCGACCTCTGCTCCAGCTTCTACTGCGACTTCTGCTCCGTGAAGGAGATCTGCTGTCATCCCGATGTCCATTGCGCCTTGGTGACATGTTGGGCCTTAGATGTCTCGAGCGAGAGCGGGAGCGGGAGCGGGATCGCGAGCGCGAGACATCTGAATGGTGGGATCGGGGCGAATGCGATCTTCGGTGTGAAGGTGCGGGAATAGGCGAATGCGACCTACGGCGACCCCGAGAGTGCACAGAGGGAGACCGAGATCGTGAAGGGGATCGAGAACGCATCGTTGCGGCTTTCGGCCAGTTGGATAAACCGAAAACCTTCACCCAAACCAGAAAGAGAGAACAATAATAACTAATTGTGTGGACGAATTTGCTGAATAGTGGTCAAGTGAAAGCTGATTTGATTCCTGTGAAGTGTTAACTAATGTGCTGAAGCTGTTTGCCAATTAGATAGTTGGCCGTTGGTTGGATGGAGTTGGAGTTGGATATCTGCGATGGTCTGGTGCACGTGACTTGCACAGCTCTTAACATTCTAACTAGTGAAAACAAACAAGATGTATAAAGCAATATCCAAAAATATCTAACATACGCATACATGCATATATGGATATATATATCATTTGAGAAAAGGTTTTATGTCTATTTGGGTCATGTACTCATATCATATCATCCCTCCATCTCTCATAAGCCTCGATCACAGCTGCTGATATCTGCTTGGGTACCTGTTCCAAAGCACTTTCAAAATGCCTCCATCCAATTTTTTGTTGCTGGCCAGTCTCTTCCTCCTCGTCCAGGGCGCCATCAGCTGCAGTTTCACAGATATTAACCATCTCCGCGCCAGAATACCCTTCAGTCACCTCGGCTAACATGTCAATATCAACATCATCGTCGACTTCCGATTTACTAACCCAGATGTTTAAAATCTCTTTCCGGGCCTGCAAGTCTGGGGGCCCAATATACAGAATATTATCCAGTCTCCCGGGCCGCATAAGCGCAGGGTCGAGAACCTCGGGTTTGTTCGTTGCCGCCACAACGAGCACGTTTTTCAGCTCTTCGATTCCGTCCATCTCATTGAGCAAAGTCGTGAGTACGTTTATACCGCCACCGCCCCCAGATGGGCCACTACCTCGTCGCGAAGCAATCGCATCGATTTCGTCAAAAAATATAATGCTTGGGCTGGCCGATCGTGCTTTTCGAAATATTTCACGAAGTGCCCGTTCTGACTCCCCAACATACATGCTCAAGATCTCAGCCCCTTTAACTGCCAGAAAATTCAACCCAGCTTCAGTCGCCAGTGCTTTAACCATTAGTGTCTTCGAACAACCAGGAGGGCCGTATAGTAAAATCCCCTTCTTGCCGCTTATATTCAGTCGTCTCATTCGATCAGGAAACTAATCAGGACACGTTAGTCATATTGTGGCTTCCTGAGCAGAAGAAGGCTGAGTTGCGGGCTTTACCTTGATTGGTCTCTCTACTGCTTTCCGAAGACGCTCCTTGATATCATGTAGTCCACCAATATCGCTCCACCTTACTTTAGGCGTTTCCAGGAAAACTTCTCTCATTGCCGTCGGGCGGGTTTCTTGAAGAGCAAGCGATATATCGTTATCATCGATTTGAAGGAAATTCTCATCTGGAGCTGCAGCCTCGAAAGGTAAGGCCTGTTCCGAAGCACATTGTTCACTGGAACACGGTTTTGCCTGCTCCAATTCCATCATTTGTCTGGTCTGTGCTTTTCTACACGAAAGCTGTAACAATGAAAAGAGGTCGGCGCCGACATATCCATGAGTCCGTTCCGCCAATTTTGCTATTTGGCTGTCATCGGGCACAGTGGAAGTTCCCCGAATGGATAATAGAATCTCTTCTCGCCCCTTAGCAGTTGGAACTGGTAATTCGATCTCGACGCCAAACCGATGGGGGGTTCTTAGGGTGTCGTCAACATCGTTCGGATGTCTCGTGCATGCGGCCACTAGAACTTTCGCATCTTGTAAACTATCCAAGGCTTCGCATAGCGCTGAACATACAGATGAGTCATTAGGCCGATTCTTGGGAGCAAGGAAATCCAATTGGTCTATGGCAATTAGACTTGGTTGTGACTGAAGAGCTTCTGTGAAGATCTTGCGCAATAAAACCTCTCCGTCGCCGCGGTTTCTGTTCAGCACGGAGCTATTGACGGTGAGTACTTTCTTCCACCCTGCAGCGCCAAGTTTAGATAGTAGCGTGCTTTTCCCCGTCCCTTTCGGGCCGTAGATTAAAATCCCGCCACTACTCCGATAAAACGAAGGCATAGTCACGTTATGCTCCTGGAACGTAAAGTCACGGAGTCTTTCATTAATCTGCATTAATTGCTGGCCGAGGCCACCCAATCCCGCGGATGACACAGAAAGGGAGGAAGGTAGAGTTTGACGTTGCAAGGCCTGTCCGATGAATACCTTAGAACTTGCAGTAAATTGAAAGATGGTATTACTTCGACTTGGAGTGAGAGGCTCGATTTCCGCCACTCTAAAGGTTCTACGGCTCCCTCTAAGGTCTAGGTCAAACACCATCCCCTCCGCAATGATCTCGCATTTAGACAAGGGGTATTCCAGACCCCATTCCCAATGAGGTCTATCTGTTTCCAGAAGCAGCCCAATAGCGGAAAGTTTGCCTGCGTCGGTGCACTCTTCAAGGCGGATAGCAGATATTTCGTCCAAGGGTTCATACTCTCTAGAAACTGATATCTTCTCTCCAAGCTTAAGCCCGTATAGATCCTGAACAGCCTTAGAGGTCTGAACAATTGTATCCGGAATTTTCTCAGCTGCGGTCCACGCGATGGCTGTTCTGGGGGAACCACCTGGTGATTCCAGTTGACACAGATCGCCAGGCCGAGCTTTTATGAGCAGCAGAGACGACGGAGAGAGAAAGACACGAAAGGAGTCTTTCTGGTCGTTTCTGGGTTGTTTCGACAGCGGCCGAACCGTGAACTTGGGTGCGTCCGCCGCCATCGTGAACCCCAGCGTCTCGGGATATCAATCGTTATTGAAACAGGGCTCCGCAAAATGGGGCGGGACAAATCAGATATATGAGGCGTGCTAAACAGTAAAGGAAAAATTTCGGCTGGTACACTGTCCATTCTAGATCAGACAGTGAGCATATTAGCTCACAGTATTTTGTCAAAAGCAGCATAAAGCCAGAAATATGTTACCTGGTAATATTCTGCTCAGGGGTATAGCACACACCAGCCAGCAGCTAGACCAGTTTGTAATTTCAGGGCGGGGATGGGTAAATGTTCATTTTCTCGGAGTGTCTTGAGGCTTAAAAAAGCCAAGCCGCGGTTTGATCAGATAAGATAAGAATCCTTAACTAACTTACGGAGTAGTTATAGCGTAAGAAGGGGAGGGTCTCAAACTTTTTAGCAGACACTGTACATACATAAGACCGCGACGACGACGTGGGAAAGAAACTCAGCACCATTTCTTCATCAGCCAGTTTCTGTTAACTATTCGGCACGCGGAATTGACACCAATTTGTATCCAAAATATTGAGGCTTCTTCATGAGCTTTTGAAAGCGCATTGGTAACGAGCAACAAAACCGTTGATGAGACGAATTCCACACGATCTCCAATTATACAGACAGACATAATTCGCTTGCGGCCCTCCCCATCATAACCAGCATGTTCTCTCCGTCGCGATTTCCAGCCTTCGTACAGACATGTCCCGTCAAGTCATTGCGATGGCTGCGGCTATTCACATCTACTCCATCTCAGAGGAACGGAGGCAGACTTGAAATGCCACCGAGTAAAAACAGAGAAAAAGGGGACGGAGCAAGCGCAAAGGCCACAAACACGACCGACAAAAGCAGCCGGCTGCGATTTGACCCCGAAAGAATATCCCTGGAGCACGCCGATTTACTCAAAATCTTTGGGCTGGCTGAAGTTCCCGAATCGAATAACACTGGCGCTATCATCGACAAGCTAGGGCGAATAACGATTACCTCTGAAGAAGCAAGCCAGCAAAAACATACTACGGCCCTCGTGCTCTATCGCGCCCCGGCCTGTCTTGACGAGCGAGACTTCATGTCAGTATTAGGCCAGGGGAAATTTCTCAACCAATGGAGAAATACAAGAGGCCTTGAGAGAAGTGAGGCTTGTGCATTTTTGCTAGATTGAAGTTAAGCTATCCAAACGGAGCTCTTTTTTACTAACATCAACGCCTCCGGGCTGGTAGTAATTCCCCTCCGCTTCCCTGATACCCTACGACGATCTAATACGTGGATCCTGATATTCTATAGCCCTGCAGCAGCGAAAGAATTCCAGGACAAAGTGTATCGCCTCTTTGAATTTGCCCGGGACAATCTCCCAACCTCCACCATGTCCAGCATTACGCCACCACCAAACTACACCGCCGACATTGCGGGCGATTATAGACTGAGCGATTACACCCTCACATCGCCGTGGCTGAAACTTTCTCTCGCCGCATATCTGGCACCTTTTGATCAGAAGATCCAAGGCGCAATTGACTTGCACAATAGACTAGTATCCCGACATGGAAAGCAGGGATTCCCCGTTCGAATATGGATCGACAATCAGAGCCACTTCACTCTTAAACAGGAAGACCTCCGTCGACTCCTGTTGTGGGATGGGCAGAACAGGTGGTCACCTTGGCAAATAGTCGAAGAGGACCCTATAACGCCGCTGACGGAACCGCTTTCCAACGAAATGTTATCCTCCGGCGAGGAGGAGTTGACTGAAGGAGATTGCTGGCGCGTTGCGTTTCAGACTGCCGCGGAGGCACGGCGATTTGTCAGAGCGTGGCATAGGAGCGTGTTCCCTAAACTGGACGGGTTGCCGTTCTACCCCGATCCTCCGCCTTTAATAAAGGCCGAGTGTCTCTTTGAAAGCGAAATCTGTTGAGGTTGAGCCGGGTATCTACGTAAAACCAGTCGAAACAACTGCTCGAGTGGCATAGTCTACATATCCAGTGAAGCTATCAGTGCCTTAAAACATGTTTGTTTATTAAGCCAAATACTACACATGCGATATCACCCATGGGGATAAAGCCGCCTGAAATCGCCAGGCCTGGGCAGTTTCATCAAAACAACCATACGGTTTCAATATGGATTGCACAAGTTATCGTGATTCAATACAGCTCACTTGGTTATTCTGGATGGAAAGATATATTTGTGCGAAATAAACGAATGCAAAATGAAATGACGCCTTCTAGGAAACAAAGCATAGGCAAGCAAACAAGGACGAACAGGTGGAAGCGGGAATGGAATCATTATCAAGTGGACGAAAAATCAATAAGGCAAGAAATAAAATATAGGAACAAAAGAGATTGGGTCGACTGGGGATACATACTAAGATGAAGGGATCTGGGGACGCCACATTAACAGGGTTGGTAACTAAAAGTAGGAGATCTTTGGGGTAAAAAGTCCATCTCCATCTAGATAGTACAAGGAATGCCGCCTGTTCGCATAAACAAAGGAAATAAAAAGAAAACGTGAAGAAAAGGGGGAGAAGAAAAAGAAAAAAGAAAGCAATCCTAACAACATTTACCTCCAAGGTTGCCTTGCCCGGCTCCTTGATGGTCTATTGTAACGCCCTGGGAGCCGGCTTGTTCGGATTTGTTTGTGTCCATAACCTTCTTTATGTCAGAAGCTAGAGTGTAGAATGCCTTTTCAACGTTGATGTTATTCTTCGCTGAGACTTCAAGGAAGGGGATTCCCAGTTCGTTGGCTAGTTGCTGGCCCTGCTCTGTTGATACGGCTCTCTTCTCTTCCCAGTCGCATTTATTGCCGATAAGCATCTTATGTACTCCTTCGCTTGCATGTTGTTCGACATTCGAAAACCACGTCCGGATGTCTTTTTTCAAGGTAAAAGAAAATGAGAAGGTTAGCGTGACAGCCTCTTTTGCTATTTCATTTCTCTATGGCCGCAACCGCAACGCACAAAGATCGGAGAAACTCACTGTTGAAAGACCGCTCATCGGTCACATCGTAAACAAGAAGTATTCCCATGGCACCTCGGTAGTATGCGGTGGTAATGGTCCTGAATCTTTCCTGGCCAGCCGTATCCCATATCTGTAGCTTTACACGTTTCCCGTCTAGTTCTATCGTTCTGATTTTGAAGTCGATTCCGATCGTCGTAATGAAAGATGGGGTAAATGAATCCTCGCTAAACCGCAACAAGCAACATGACTTGCCTACGCCCGAATCGCCGATGAGAAGGAGTTTGATCTAATTCGGTTCCGAAACAAAACGTCAGCAGATGAAAGAATATATACATATATACGCATTCCAGAGGGGCTTTTGCGGAAAATTCGCAAGGCAAAAGTTACCAAAAAATCGTAATTTCGTGTGCCAGCCATCGTTAGTGAGTGTTAGTGAGGGAAGGCAGGCGGGGGAAGGAATGTTATGGAGATAATCCGCAGAGTAGAATCAAAACAGGTCGCCGTCGGTAGAAGCGTTCGAGGATGGCTGGAGAGGAACCAAATCCTCTAAGCACCTGTGGATAACTTTGAAACCTGCCTTTTGGCTACTAGCTCCAGGAACAGGGAGGCGGCGGCAGCGAGTAACTTAGGGTTGGAAGGGAGCGAAGTCTTTGGCAAGCAACAAAGCAGGTGCCTGCAGGTGTCTCTCAAGGACGGCCTAGATGGGAGGCCAGGCAGCGAATAGCACGGGAGATAGCAGGGGAGATAGCACGGGCGAGCAGGCTGTTCCGTTAAGTGATGGTAAGGGGGTGGGATCTGGCAGCGAGCATGATAGATATAGAGGATACCTAGGTCGGCTGGGGCGCAGGAAACCCATACAGGGCCAAACGTGGTTGGTTGGTCGTTTGGTTGGTGGTTGGCGAAGGCGGAGAGAGCCAGCAGCCGGCAGTATATTTATTTGCTGGTTATTTAACTTATTATTAGCTCCTCCTGTCTTATCTACTCTGTCCACAACATTATTAAGAAAACTGGACTCCTCCTCCTCCTCCTTCTTCTTCTTCTTCTCTATAGTTTTCTTTTGTGCTGATATACGCAGGATATCAGGATATGGACTGAGATATGATGGATACGGATGATGTAAGGTCTCCTTTATGACGAGGATGTAACGTTCTAACCTACCTCTGCGATGAACTAGACTTCACTGCTGCCTGCCTTCCTGGGCGTGTGATACCGGATCGGAGTGGAATATGTCTCGTATATTTAGGGATTGCCTTGCCATCAATGGCCCCCATAGAGAGATTCCTACCTGCCTACCTGCCTGCCTGCCCGCCGGGCCACCGGCCAGATTACACCAGTTCACGATTGATATACCACATATAGGGCTTGTATGCTACAAATTCATACACAGCTCATGCAGACGATACCAGCTACAATCGATGTGTGCTGTAGGAGATTGCAGTATACAATTTCTATCCCCTGGGCTTAAATAACGGTTGCACGCTACGGTCGATAGATATCGAGAGAGATTTAAATGGAACAGTAGCTTTTAGAGGTTCTTTTCCAACAATATAATAATGATATATAGAATATAGGAAGATGGGTTAATTTATCACCTGAAAAGAAGTGCTGTTTTTTTGCACAGTTACTTTTTACCAACCATATCATAACAAATAGATATATATGAATACTGAAATGCATAGATTAAAACAACAACATACCGGGGGAAATGTTTATCATCTCCAATACTCTATGATACTCCTGAGTTCAATAATAATTGATAGGGCGTGTTGCGTCTTCAGATGTCAAGATGGATCACCAGAAGGGCGCGTTGAGGTGGGCCAATCCCGGCTGTTGATTGGGCTGGGCGGCTCCGATATCGGTCTCTACCGCCAGATATACGTCTGCGTCAACGCACCTTTTCAAGGCTCCATTCCTCCATCTTCCTTGATTATCACATCTTTTCTTGAGAATCACATAACTATTTCCTGCGTCGTTAATGTTGCGCTACTTCGAGATTCCGCCAGACAGAACTTCCTTCCAACTATGTTCAGGCACACGAAGCAGACTGAGCCTATAAGATACTCGCCTCGACTCGACTACCATACCTCATTTTCTCCTCGTAGCCGCCCGGGGGCCTACCCCAGTATGGTATTTGGACATCTCCATGGCCCTTTGGGGTGAGAATATGTGCAGTATCTTGAACAGCTAAAAGTCATGGTCGGGCCTGTCTCTTGTTCCCGGCTTGTCAACCATCTCCATTCACCACGTTCCTAGGACACCTCCGTTGAGGTGCCAGTCGATGACTACGCCGCCGCCATTGAATAACAACGTGGACACAGGACTCGCCTGAACTGTTCCGAATCACACTTCCTCTCCCGTTAGATTATAGAGGACGGACCGTTCCAACCTACAGCAGATGTTGGAGGAGATACACGCTGACTACGCGCAGTTAGATCAGTCATGCCTAACATTCGACTTATCCACAGAGCGATCGAGAAAAGACGGGCTTGCAGGCGTGCCTGTTTCCAAACCCCCCTGTACACGCCTCCCCTTAGAAGATAAGATACCTCCCACCCTTCGAGCAACAAATTGCAAGATACAGTGACGACGCCGAAATGGTCTGGAATCCACACTATACTCGAGAGGGCACTGGTTAGGAGCTTTGTTAGGGCTGTGGTTATGAGGGGAAAGAAGCTGGCTGGCGTTTCTGCGTGGAGCATGGCGCTAAAATGCCTAGGTGCCGCTGATGATGGGGTACCTAGAGGTAAACTAGAGGTAAACACGTTCTCGATCATTGTTCGGATAAGCAGGCTGTGGAACGATATAGTAACTGCTTTGGTCGAATTCGCGAAATCGAGTGTTGCTTGCCACTTTGATCGACTCATTACTAAGTTTCCGCTCTGGCACAGAGCTGCCTATAGACATGAGAGGAAATCCTGCTTGACGGAGGATTTTTATTTTTATTTTTATTATATTTAGACAACCCACATGTCTAAACTTGCCAGGAGAAAGATTTCAGCAAAGCAATTGCAGGGTCGCGCTATAAGCTTGAAATTTCGTGAAAACCAAGTTGGGCTTGCGTTGCCGCCAAAAATGAAGGTGCAAAAAAAAAAAAAAAAAAAAAAAAAAAAAAAAAAAAAAAATCCAAACTAATGGCGAGGCACAGTCCAAGTGCTCTGCTTTATTCTCGACAGGAAAGGGCCCCAGCCCAGCCAAGGTTCATATCATGTGTCATCTGAGGGATGGATGGATAGGGAGATTACATAACGTCTGCAGGGTCGTCTATCCCGAGAAACTAACCGAAACCGCTAGCACCGTGTTCCCGGTAATGGGTTGCAGCAGTAGCAGCAAGCGCCTCACTTCAAGAATAATTGATGGGCTCAGGATTCGGCCGAAAGCGAGGGAGCTAGGCTGACCAATGACACAGCTACGATGTACTTGGATGATGAGTTAACGACTGAATACGGGGTACAGGCATGGAGAGTCAATCGGTCTGCTTCAAGGGGAATTATTATTATTATTATTATTGGCCTCGAGCAGGATTGTCTGCTTCCCAAGTTCACCATCGCACCGGGGGCTGAATCCTATATTTATGCCATGCTGTCTGATCACGCAGGAGAGCTGTTGAGCATGGCCACCCCTGTCTATTACTTTCACGTGTAACCCGTCAGAGTGAGACTGAAAATGTTGACCCGGGTTGACTGAAGAGTCTGATTGGTAATGAAAAGATCTTGCTCTGGTCAAGATACATTCGTATATCAGGTTTCTAGCTTTTATTTTTTATTTTTTATATTTTTTCCCCCTTTTATCGGCTAATTTTCAGTGCTTTATGTTCTCCCAAAAAGCTTGGTCTTTTTTGCCGAAGCGATACTGTCCATGTACGCACAGTACTGCACCCAACAATAGGGATACTGGCAGCTCTAACAATCCATAAGGTCTACAATTACTTCACATTGACACATTCATCACACATTATTGGGTGAGATGGAACGCAAGAAATGATTTTTGATTTTATTCCGAAGAATAGTGAGCAAAAAACCCCCAGCTCCGCGAGGACCCCGCGTGTTTTAGACAGTTCCCATCTGGTTGGTCGGTTCCGCTCAATTCGAGAAATTTGAAGCCTGAGCATCACAGGTAATTTCATTTTTTTCAAAATTTTTTTTTTTTTTCATAATTTCTTTTTCACGGGGGCTTGTTGAATCATTGATCGATCAATTATTGGGGTTTCAGCTTTTACAAGGTAAACATAAGCTTTTGGCTCTCTGCATGAGATCTGTCATTCTCTCCTTCAATTCTTTCTCGCTAGATATCTCTTCTTTCAACCCAGCTCCTCCCTCCGGTTCCTCAACTGAAGGAAGGGAAAAAAACGTCAACGCATGACACGTTTCCTCTCGCGCTGCTTCCGGGAAAGTGGGTGGGCCGCAGAAAAAAAAATTTAGCAAATTGGCTCTAGTATTTAATGCGTGTGGACACGTGTGAGAGGTCGCAGCTAAAGCCCGCTAACAGATTAAGCGTCTCTTGGCGACGATGCTCTCGCCACATCTCCGCTCCGGGGTTGGAGGGGGGGGCTTGAAGGAGGGTTGGGGATATGCTAAACCTCTTTAGGGAGGTCCTTAGGGCTTGGCTTGGAGCACGCGATGGGACCAAGGCCGGGAATACCCATGCGGGGGAAGATGGGGACCGGAGAACCAGACACAACGATGATGATGATGCTGCTGGTGATAGGTGACGATGGTGGCTGATGATGACAGAATTGGGCTCGCGTGCTTGGCCTCTTGCCCTCTTCATTTCACAAAGAAGAGGTTTGTTCCGAGCTCCTGCTACCTATGAACGGTTAGCAGTAAAAGCAACCGGACTGGGGAATTTTCTGGAGAATAACCAGACCAGGATTATTATTAACCCATGTGGATTCGAGTTGCAGGAATGTCTCTTCTGCGAATGAGATGAGCTGCGTGCGACGTTAGCCGCTCCTCTGAACGGTCTTGAAATGGGGACTTGGTCCTCCACCTTGGTGATTGATCAACCAATTACGGATGACACAGAGAAAGGCTTCGAATTTCCCTATCCGGGGTACGCTGGGAATCATCTGGAAATCTGACAGCCTTGACCACTACACTCCCAGGAGAAGAGGTGAGAGAGGGGCCCGGGGGGCCACCACCACACTGTTGCGTTGCTGTGAGTTACGGGTAGCAGGAGTAGTAAGAGTGAGAGTGAAAGTGAGAGGTGAGAGTGAGAGGTGAGAGGTGAGAGCAAGGGTACCGCCGGCAAGCCTGAGAGTACTCTGTACATGCCCTGTAGAAAGGCGCCAAGTTGACCCCAGCATATCAATACATCCCCGCGCCAACAGCTATCTCTCTCTCCGTGTCTCTGTATCTCTCTTTCTTCGCAATGTGCTTTGCTGACGGAGGCAAAGTCAAAAAATACTCCGAGGCCCTCGGGGTATAAACGACTGAGCGAGAACTGTCGAACTTCGACCACTAGAACCGCATGGCACGCCTTCCCCCCCCGCCTCTCTCCTCTCCTCTCCTCTTGGGATCTCGCTTGGGAATGGAATTCGATCGCGAGCAAAACAACACACTAGATCGCGAAGAACTGGCAGCACGCAACAAATGGCCAATCCCCGCTCGCGAGTCGTTATACGAACACACTTTCCGCCTGTGACAGGTCAGACCGCAGTTCCACGGTCGTAAACGGACAAGCTCGGGGCTAGCAATTCCCATTAGTTAGGACTGGGGCCTTGCAAGCATATTGGTTAGCCCTAGGTTAGACTCAGGTTAGCCTCACGTTAGGGCGCCCACACTAGCGCGACCCACCGAACGCAGCAACTAAGCACTGTAAGCAGTCGACCGGGGTGACGGCGGTGATGGCGGTGATGGCGGTGCTGGTGAAAAGTCCCGTTCCGCTGTGGTGCGGGGTCCAGCAGCGGGGATGGGATTCGCGCTGCTGCTGGGCTTGGCGCGAGTCGGCATTGTAACCCTGGGGCTTGGCGCAGAAAAAACTTCCCCAAAACTTCATCCGGGAGATCGTTCTTTTTTTGCAAACCTCCGCCTCCACTGCCACCACCACTGCCACCACCGCCGCTGGGTTAACGAACCAACAACGGTCGGCAATCCAACCTATTTTTTGTCCCTCGCCAAACAAGCTGCTGTCAACCGATCCTGCCAGGCCGCACTACTATATAACCGTGGTCTAATCCATCCATTCCAAGTCTCACGCCGCCTAAACCCAAACCCCCCCCCCCCCTGCTCTTCTTCTCCCCCCCCTCCCCTGTCCCGTCCTCTTCTTCCCTCCTCTCCCCGGTTCGCCCCTGTCCTTCAGCTCATCCTTGGCCGTCTGATTACCTTGCTGTGCTTTCTTCTTCCTCCTCTTTCCGGCTATTTCCCTGTTCTTCCTCTCTTCCTCATAAGCCTGGAGCTGCCCTGTTTTTCCCGTCCCTCTTCCTCCTCCTCCATGCAAGCAAGGAATCTTTCGCTCTCCGTCCTACTGCATCGATCCTAATAGCTCGTGGTCCGGCACGTTTGTTTTTGTGATCGCCCATCATGAGTGTCTTCAAAAAGGTTCTCAATATCCTCGCCCCCGACGCGAAAAAGGCGACAGACGGCCGTGATCAATGGCCGAATCGGCTTTCCTTCGTGCTGGCCGCCATGGGCGGCGCCGTTGGTCTCGGAAACATCCTTCGGTATCCCTCTGTTGTCTTTGAGAACAACGGCCTGCAGTGGTTCATCCCCTACCTAATCTCCCTCATCTTCCTGGCAATTCCGCTGCTCATTCTGGAAATCTCTATCGGTCAAGCTGCCCGCGGTGGAGGTGTCATCGCCTTCAACACGGTCAGCAAGCGCGCAAGAGGAGTCGGTATCGGCACCATCTTAACAGGCTACATGGTTGCGACCTACTACGTTGCCATTCTCAGCTGGGTCATGATTTACTTCCGCCACTCCTTCTACACCCCACAGGCTTGGGCCGGTAGAGGAGAGGAATTCTATATGCAGGATGTCATCGCGAATGTCGAACCCATCCCCGGCACCTTCAGTGAAGATGGCAAATCCGTAGCCACATATGCTAGCTACCCAGGCACCGCCCTCGTTGGAGAGACTGTCGGCTGGGCAGCCTTCGTCTGGTTTGTTGTATTCCTCTGCATGTTCAAGGGAGTCGGCCTGTCAGGCCGGGTTGTGTATGTGACTATGGGTCTGCCGATTGTCATGATTTTTGTCCTCCTTGGCCGTGGCGTGTCGCTTCCCAACGCTGTGGAGGGCGTGAAGATGTACGTGGGTCACTGGGACAGTTCTAAGCTGGCTTCGGGTCAAATCTGGCAGGCAGCTGCAGGTCAGATCTTCTTCTCCACCGGCGTTGGTTTCGGTTACTTCACCGCATTCGCATCCTACAACCCAACCTTTGCGAATGCAGTCCAGGACTCCATCATTATCGCCTGTTGCAACTCTCTCTATGAGGTTATCGGCGCATTCTCCGTCTTTGGCATCGTCGGGTACCTCGGTTTGAAGCCTGAAGCGGGTGACAAGCTCGGAACATTTACTGTTGGCTTCCTGACATACCCACTGGCCATTACAGAACTGCCTGCGTCTGCCTTCTGGGCGGTTGTGTTTTTCTTCACCATCATGCTCGTCGGTCTCAGCTCTGCCTACGCCCTCGTCGAGTCGGTGGTCACGCTCATCGTTGACACAGACTGGGGCAAAAAGGTCCCACGTACCGTCGTGTGCACGGTCGTTATTATAGTATCGTTCCTTCTATCACTCATGTACTGCTCCCAATTCGGATATTATCTTCTCGATGCCGTCGACACGTGGCTTAACAACTTCTCTCTCCTCTTCATGGCGTTTTCTGAGTGCATTGCTATCACCACCTTATACCGCTACAAGGAGGTCGTCGGCCAGGTCGGAGGAATTCCATACCTCATCTACAATGTTGGCTACGTTTCCGCCATGATTCTCGGCATCGGAGTAGGCCATGCGACCACGCCTTGGGCCGGTGCTGTTATGGGCTTTGGCCTCTTTTTCTTCTGCGCAGCCCTTTCTATCTTACTTGCCAAGAACCCTGACACTCGTGCTCCTCGTTTCTGGGCCAATAGTCCAATGTTGGAACGTTTCTGGTGGATCGCCTTCTACTCGGTAAGCAAAATCTATCCCTTCACATGCTCCCCCCCTTTCTTTCCTATCTGTGTTCCACAACGCCTCGATTTCCAATCTCGCCTCCCTTTTGACATCAGGCACTAACCATCAACACTGTAGGGCAACCAACTCACCCGCGATCTCAACGTCGTCGTCGCAACTGGCAAAAACTGGAGAATCCCCGTCTACTGGGGCCCCGTGGTCAAATACATCTCCGCCCCCATCCTCGCCATCATCGTCGGTTTTGCCTATCCCCTTTTCAACTCGAAGCGCAACGACCCGCTCCATATTTTTGCCTTTGCCGCCGCAAACGTTGTCATGGTTCTCGTCGTCCTTGGTCTGGTCATCCCACGGTCGCTGAGTCTCCTACTACCCGCCGAGCGCCTTAACAAGGTCGAGCACTACGCTCCTGGCGTGACACTGGCACCTGTTGAGGTCAACACGGGTGCCATCGAGGAGACCTTCGAGGAAGCCGAGGAGATGAAGCAGAAGCACTGAGATCCCGTTTCCCCTCTCCACCCTCTCTCCTTTCCCTTCATCCCTCTACGCGCTCTTGAGTGTGTTTTTTCCATCATGCATTCACAGGGCTTATTTTTTAATCTATCTATTTTCCATTTGTTATACACATTCCCTCTTTTATGACCCTTCTCAGGCTCCAAAAACCGAAAGCAATAAAAACAAAAAATACAATAAAGAAACACTAACTAAATCAAGAAGAAACTCAAAGCCTCTCGATCTAACTAGCTAGAGCTCCTCAAATCTTTGTCAGTTAAAACAATCGCTCTCCTTGCTTTTCAACAGCATATACCAGGCGAGGCTGCTTATTGGTGCCTGCTCCACTGGGCTGATCTTATCCGAGATTACCCATATTGATCGGATAGTTAGTTATACATACATTAGGTACATACACACGTACTGCGTACATACAAATACTACAAATACATAATAATAATAGGGCATTCTAGAAAGAATTTTAGCTTTTTCCCCCATACTTTCCACCTTCCTGTTTGCCTCTAGCGCTCCTACTAAAACCAAGCAAAAAACGTGTTCAGTGTAAATTAAGTTTATAGGCACGTAATATCATTGGCCACTTAAATTTACAAAATTAACTTGAAAAAAAAAAGCTATTTTAGAATAAAAAAAAAATTAAAATATACTTTTCCAAGGAAATACGAGCATAATTATTAACTACCCTACCCTACCCTCCTCACATGAACCAACCACCCCCACCACCCTGTTTGCGGGCGGGTATGATGCGGTGTGTTTTGCTGTCGCTTTGTGTGCGCCCTATTTTAAGCTTTGCTGGCGTGAAACAAAACCCAGCATCCCCTTATGGATGAAAGAGCAAGTTCCAAGGTTGGCGATAGCTCTTAACTCTAACGCTTGTCTCTCTCTCTCTTATATTATTAGAAGTTAGCGAGCGAGCTTGCCCTGGCGCCTGCAACAGCCGGGGATGAGACCCGGGAAGGGGGGGGGGAGATGAACTAATGAACTACGGATGCTACTCTCCTGAGGATGTGAAGTTAACACAAGGTTTTGAATTAATTGTGCGGTTTTGAGAACGACAAAGGGAAGGAAAAAAAAAAAAAAAAACCCGTATTTTCGGCTGTTGCTGAGATCTGGGGAAGGGAAGGGGGTTGTGGCTGTGGTTTTGTTGCTATTATTAACAACCCATGGTAAGTTAGTTATGATGTATGGTAGGTATCGTGCTGGGAGATGAAACCTCGGCTTATCTTTTTATTTTTCTTTTAACTCCGTAGTTACTTCTCTTTCCTTTTATTATATGGGTTGAGATTTCTCAAATACCTCTTTTTACGCGGTTTTAATTATTTGAATTTTTTGTTGGTAATCAAATGCTTCTAATAAAATTCCAAAATTGTAATCCGTAGATTATTATTGTATAGATTAATAAGTTTCCTCCTTATTCTATTCTTTAACTAGCTTTGTGGCACTCACCAGAGTTGAAACAAGGTGCTTAGAGATATATCAACATGTTTGGATGGAACGGTTTCAAACATTCTTGGCCAAGTATCCCGCCCGAACTGAGCTGAGGATTTTCCCCATCAATTCATCTTCATGATTATTGAAATATATATATATTTCCCCTTCACTTCTTTTCTAAGTTTGAATGATGGCCAGGTCATTTGCCCTGCAGAATCACTGGCAGGGGAGGAGGGAGGGTTAGTACATACTCCGTATATCCCGCAGAGTGCAGCAGAAGGGGCGGGGTGGAGCCAAAGCCTTTCCAATTTCCAAACGCTTCAGAGTTAACTTACTCCGTACATACGTGAAGCTTTTGTATCGGGAATAACTAATTCCACCTCGGGATTAACTTGCTGTTGGCGTTGGCTAATGGCCGGTGGCTGGCGCAGGCAGGGGCCGTTGATTAGCGTCTAAACCGACTCAGCCCTATATACTGTACATGATACGTCTCCCGAATCTTTATGGAGGCTTGGAATCACTTTTACCACCCGGATCACTGGCAATTGCAAGGTGGTTGGTTCCATGCTTCTGAAGAATAGCCGGGCCATTGACCCTTCATGGGCCAATTAATCTGTAGACAAATTTGTTCGAGGTGAAAGGCGCCTTCTGTGGAGACATGGATCAAATGAATGTGTGATGTAGACAGACAACTATATTTTTTGAAAGAGGGGCTCCTTTCTGATAAAAGGAAAGAATCAGTGCTGAGACGCTATGTGATTAACTAGTTAGTCTTTGTGAAAAAGAATTAAAGAATATTAGAACAAACTGAGGACTTTGAACTTATCGCTGCGTGGCTGGCTGCTCGTATCTGTAGGATTCTCGTCGGCGTTAACCTGCACGTTCTGCACGTCTGCCACCTGTTGAAGTCCCTGTTAGATTCCCAGTATAGTCGCTTTTAGCATTGGCCAGTCAACCAAAAATATTACCCTATAAACTATCAGAGGTCAGCTACGCCGGGTCCTTTGAGACTTGTGGTCTGTATATATAGTTAAACTCTCATATATGGCACGGGCACTACGCTGTAAGTTGCAATCTATATCATGCAGGGTCAGCAAGAGAACCTCAAGCTGGAACCAGGGGAGAGAGAGAGGAGCTGGGGAGAGGGGGGGCTGGCGGAAAGAAGCTCAGTGGGGAGCCTCGATATCATGTCTATTCATGTACTTCGTACGAAAACCCCGTAAACCAAATCGAGCCAAGGATCGGGCTGACGTTCAGTAGATCTGTACCGCCACAACCAATTTAGGATGACAAGTTCTCCGTTTTTTCCCTTCCTTGGGTGTTGTTGGCATCTAGCTTCCCATAATGGGTGTGGTGGTACATGTACATGTGCAGTACAAACGCCCGATGTCCCCTGGGCGTGCATGTCACCGGCATGTCACCTTGCAATTTTCATGCATTATTCAGTAAAAATCAAATATCGAGCTATCGCTAAGAATAAATTAGCAAAGGTGGCTCTATCGAAATAAGGGTTGTCTGCAGGCCGCTCAGAATGGGTGACGAAGTACGCATTGCACAGGGAGCTAGATATGTTCACAAGCAGATGTTGGGAAATCCGTCAATTTGATAGGCCACACCAGCTGCATGGTGGCTGTCTCTTCCAATGAATATGCCTGTCTACCCCCTCATTTCATCAGAGATCTTTCAAAAATTAGGCCCGTCAGTGGGCACACAAAAGGAATAGCATTGCCCCGCGTCAACTTACAGGCCGAGAAACAGAACATCCATTGCGAGAGTAGGCCCGCAAAGTCACCAGGCCGTGTGCAAGCAGCATATGGTTTTGGATTTTCATCTAACAAACACACACACATATATATATATATATGTATATATATTTAAATTGTTTTTGAACCTATCAGGTTGAGATGTCTCTCCAAAGACGTACTTCATCTTACCGACCACTGCGTACGCTCCAGATGATCTCATAAGGCTTGGGCAAGTTATCGTGAACCCTAGGATTCCTTACCGGCGTCTTGCCGAACCGCTCCCGCTCGAAGGAAAGCTTATTCCTCGAAAAGCTGACGCTGTCGAGTGAAGCGCCTTCAAAGTTGACAACGAACGCGGGCATTTTCGCACATTTTCGCGGGCCGAAGCATCGTCCAATAAGTCCCAGATCGAGAAGTACAACTAGGAAGGCGCCTTCTTAGAGACGCAATTTATTGAGCTGGATGAGGATCCAGAGTACGTGTTTAAAACTGCGATAGAGGTTCCGATGGTGTTGTAGTGGTTGGAGAAGAAATGGCCGAACATCTCTGGGAGGATGTTGGAAAGATTACGGGGATAAAGACGGCTACTAAACCCGGAAAGGCCACCTACGATGGAGTAGATAAGAGGGACGCTGCGGCAAAGCTCAAGGTCTCGGCTCCTCTCCACCCTGGAGGAGGAGTCCCGGTGAAACTCGGGGCTGAGGGGGGGGGGTATCACAACTCAGGGGACATCTACCTGGAGGGAACTCCGCAGGATAACTTCGTGTTCGCGTATCAATTGCGCAAAATCCACATCGACTGGAGAAAGAAGACTCGTTTAGGAGACCTCGTCGGAGGTGCAGACTTGCATGGAGAGGGGCCATCGATTCGGATTCGTGATATAGCCTGTGTCAACAAAATCGCGAGTAGGTCACTGATTACGAAATAAACAGTGCGACATATGATACCGACGATTTTGGGGCCTCATTACCAAGAAGGGATGTTAAGGTAACTGGCGTCGATGAATGTGACGGGCATCAGTGCCTGATGGTCCAGGCAACCATAGGTTATGAATGTTGGGAATTTCTTTTTGAATGGTGCAGCACTGGTTTACAGGTTGACAGCCTCTCTTATTTTGAGTGCGAAGTAGTGTGCCAAACCGTGATTGTCATATTTCTCTTTCAACCTATCTGCTTCTAGGCTGTGGTTGTCGCTTCCAATGTCGGGCTTCAAATAATTGTATTTGTGATCTTCCGAGTTAAGGCTCATGGATTTCAGTATTGCACGTACTGCTCGAATCGTTTTGAGGCAGGGGAGCTTCTCGCCTACATCCATTATAGTAGGATATTCGTAGCAAAATTGAAATATGATCGCCACGATAGCAGCAGCAACCGGGGTTGAAAACGATGATCCGGACAAGCGCGTCCAAGGAGCTTTGGTTGTCGACCTAGCAGAGACAGTAGGCGGTTCTATTTGCAGAGGCCATATGGACTCAATATCGTGTCCTAATGCCCCGAAAGTGTATCGTGTGTCAATCAAAGGAGGACATGACTCGACCTTGTAACCAAGGTGGTCAGTTGCGAAAATTTTGAAGACACGGTCCTCATTAGCTGGATATTGCAATTGCTGATGGTTGCCTAAGTTCCCCACTGCGGCAAGTATTATTATGCTTGTTAGCGGCAAGGTTAATCGCTTCTTGTAAATTGTCGGTCGTTCGGCAGAAACCGAACGACAACGAGATAATGTCCGCCCCCCACTCAACAGCGCGCTCGATAGCCTAAGCAGCATGAAAAGTTAGTCACAGCAGAATCAATATCCGATAACGGGGAGCTCTCACTTTAGCTACTTTTACATCCGCAGATAAATCACTCGCTAGCGAGTCGCGAGTTCACCCAACCCGAACAAGGAGGTCTACGTTCGGCATGAGCTGGAGTATAATTCCAGCAATGAACGTGCCATGTCCATCTTCATCGATTGGAACGGAAGAGGCTTGCTCAGAAAATCGTGAAATTTCACAGAAACCGGATCATCGCCTTTCGGCCCGTAGCTAGAAGATATATAAGGATGAGAAGTATCTATACCCGTGTCGATTATCGCTATTCGAACCGTCTCTACATCCTCGTGTGGTGTTTTCGAAAGTAATAGTTTGTCCCGAATACTTGCTAGCCATTCCATCCGATGAGCGCTTCCCCTGTGAACACAGTTCTGATCAGCGAAGCTCTTGGGAACAATGCTCAAGATTAGGGCAAGTGATGCACTCGTCTTACTCTCTAGGTTCTGATTGCAAAGAAACTCTAGATGCTTCACCATAGAAATGAATAAAAGATGCGCTCGAACAGTCTTTTGATCGCTCTGGTAAACCCGCTGAAGAAGCTAGAAATGTTAGTAAGAAGCATGGCGCTGAAAAGTAGCAAGAGCCGTGACGTAGGGGCGCATTGGGGTTTAAATTACAAGAGGAGTGATTTAAAGCCCGCTCTCTGCGTGAGTGAGCGAGTCGTTTCTTCCTTTGTGAAGGCATCAGTTCTCTTTCAGAGTCTCCGTTGGCGTCTAATTGGATAGAAGGGTGAGCTAAGGGTGTATCGGCACTGGTTCTTTGATCTCGGGCTCCGGAGGGCCTTGTTTCACTGTTAGCAGTAGAGGTCGGAACTGGTGACTCCGATCGATATCGCTTCTTCGTGCTCGGCCCTACCTTCATAGCAAGCTCCAGGTTGCTGACAATTTCCCTGTAAATCAACTTTCGTATCGCAATAGGCCTCTCTTTCTCTGACAAATTTTCGTTTAATACAAGACCAATGTTCCGTTGTGATAGATGTGGTCTTCCCGGTATGAATTTCGAGAAGAATCTTGGCGAACGACACTAGAGCTGGATGGCCAGTCTCAAATTTAAGTAGCTCTTCTGATGGCGGAAGCCCCGAGGAGAAGGCCATGAAGAGAAGCACATCCTGGTTAACGGATCCCGTAGATTGAACGAGATGAGTGTTCTTTGAATCCCACTCTGCGTCGAAAAAGTCGAGAATGCGGTAACCTAGCTAAAGGGCAAAAGTTCGCTTGTTACTCTGTAATATAAGCTTGCTTATTCTATGGCTTCTTGCGAATCAACCGGGCGAGTGATACGCTTGACGATGGGTCGGCACTGAACTCTTCCGAGGGAAGGCCGTTCCAAGTTCCAAAGACATCACCTCCTCTTATAGTTAAGCCTAATAGTTTGGCTCGATTTGAATCGTCTTGTAGTTGGTTACATATATTTTCGGTACAGTCAAACAAGCTACCATCGCTGCAAGGAAATTAGTGCCTAGTGACAAGTTTGGAATTAAGTCGTGGAGCCTACTCTTGTGAATCATAGAGCGCCTCCTGCCAGTGGTGTGAATCTGAGCACCGAGACAGCCCCAACTGAGTTCTCTATCGTCCGGTGGGAGGGTTACACTGGTCTCCTAACCCGAGCATGACTTCGCGGTTGTTGCATTGGAAGCCTTGAAAAAGGGCGTTAAGAACAGCTTGTTGCGCGGCTCCCGCGTTGTTGTATTTTGGTAAAGTATGTACATGTACATCAGGAGGGACGTCCGGTGACAATGTCGAAGTTTTGAGGGTGAGGTCCAAGAGATCATTCGCTTCTGTCAGTCGAATTATGTTGATATGAAGCTCATTAGCATTTGGGGAAGCCTGAATAGTGTTTGATTTATGCCGCTGGCCATGTCAAAATATCTCATGGGTGTTGGATTTCCCAAATATATCTCTTTAGCGCCGACAAGGGTAAATATCCGGATGGATCACGGATGGCATAACTTCAACATATTTGCGGCTTCGCGAGTCAGTCCAACAACTGATAACAATATACCGAAGCCTTCTTTGACCTTTGTAAAACGTTGCGGGCCATGAGGGCGTGTTTTCCTTCCAAGGCGCTTAGCTAAGGCCTGTATCAAGCGAAATTCATCGCACTGGTAAAGGTAAAAGCTAGGCTCCATCGGCAATAGATAGGCCTCTGTTCCTGAAAATTCCTAGTTTTTCACATAGTAATTAATAATAGAAGAGCAGGTACTGAGTTAAAGTATGTTGTGTGGCTATCAATTCGGTGGTTGTGTGTAGTTAACTAACTACTAACCATGCGGCGGCGGCTCGGGCTGGGCCTTATATACATACAGTAACTAGCTACTAGGCACTATATGTATGTACTGTACTGTACTGTACTGTACTGTACAATACATAGTTATACTTACTGTACATTCATGTACATGTACTTGTACTTACTTGTACTAGTTACTTACTTCCCTAGGTTAGATTGATGTCAATTGTCAATCCATTAATATTGGAAGGGCTACAGTGACCATACCTAGCATTCATTTTAGGTTGCTTGGTTATTGTCATGATATAAGTTATATAGTTCTAGAGTAACTTACGGAGTAACTACAGAGTGGTTAACTTACTGTACACGAATCTCTATGTAGGTAAGGTAACATAACTAATAGTAATAATCCGTAACTGTTACAACAAACCATCAACCATCAACATCACATCAACCATTCTCCGCATCCCTAACTTCTTCTCATAGCCTCACAAGACTTCATTCGACTTTTTCAGCTTCTGGAAAGATTGACTCTACTGTCACTTTCTTCGTACACTTAGAGCGAACTCGGGTAGGGAATCCGCCCCATCACATCACCTCACTGACTGATGGCAGCCAGAATTAAAAGTATGTATGCTGCGACTCTTCACTCCAAGATTTCGCCAATCCACGGTTAGAAAACCAAGAAGATTCCTGCACACCGATGATTATCAATAATGGCAATGGATCCAACAAATATCAAGTACCCAATAAATCTAACATGGCAAGAAACAAACGAGCAAGCTCCGTTCTTTCCTCCTCGCGGGGACTTAACCTCTGCTTCCGCCGAACACGCTCAAAGAAGCATGAGGGATTCAACCAAGGCGGACTCGCAGTTTCAGCACATTCAGTCCTACCAATTTCATCAGGATAACTACCCCAGCCCTTCGGAAAAAAGGCAATGCTGACACAATCACATGTGAGTGATGTTCTACTGTTCTTACACCAGAGACTTTAGAGCGCCTAGACCATATGTAGGGACATGGCCACGATTCGATTGGTACCAAGAAGTATTCCACTTGATGTCGTGGGTATGTTTGCTCTGCAAGCCCAAACAGGAGTTCTATATCGATTTACAGCGCCTACTCGCTCATATGAACGATGAGAACTCACAGAGTAGTGTACAAAAGAAGACCGTGAAATTATTTCCCAGCACAGCACGATAAGAGATCCAACACCAAATAAATGCCGCCTATGTCTCTACGAAATTTGGAAAACCGCTCCACCTAGACATCTATATTCCAGGAAGAGTCGGAAGCAGCCGTTGCGAGAGATGGAAGGGCAAGAGTGCCAGAGTCGATTTGGAGATGAGCCACCCCAAACCCCACACCTCCATTGATGAACATTCACTCGACTTTGGTGGAACGGCTGAAAGTTTTGGCAGCGTCGAAGACCCACCACCAGGACCTAAGGCTTCTAAAACTATGTCACTACACGTCGCGGGTCATTTGCAAATGTTAATGTTATTGACCATCCGCCTAGCATAAATTACAGAATGATCAAGAGACCCTAATTGAAGATATCAAGAGCGATAGCATCAATGTTGATATTGACAACAACACCTGTCATGAACAAGATATTGCCTTGTTCTCGGACACCGACGTATCAAAAAAGACAGAGGAACAACCATTGGACGAAGCACGTGCTAGTAACTTATAGACGTTGACAAGAATTCGCAAATCCCAGTTCCAGATACCGAGGAGTTGAATGATTGGAGCCATATCCCCCGCAGTGATTTTCCCCCTGAGAACGACAAGTTTCTACAGGAAGTGGCAAAGGCGGGGGCATAATCAATCAACAACCATCAAGTAAGGTTTACTACTTCATTAGGGAGGGATCTTGGTTTCCTTCCAAGGCTTAGAACTGATGAGAACATCTGCATGCTAAAGGCATGGCATTGCCCTATGGAGGTGTTTGGCTTTGAGTCCTGACTTACTACAAATGACAATCTAATGACTGGGAAGTCCGCAACAGCCCCTCAAAGTCTGTATATGACACGGTCGAAACAACAACCAAATGAACGTCAGTACGGAGACGTGGAACAAATGGCTTTGCATATATTCTAGACGAGGATCACGGAAGTGTCAAAACCCCAGAGCTCGAACACTTCCGACCTCTAAACGAGCCCCAAGCTTTTCGGGGGCCTGTAAAATGGCTTGTAACCAGGTTCAACATAAGTATTATTGTTTCCATGCTCACGTTCATTTGTGTCTCTACACTTTACAGCTGCACTTGCATGTTCCGTAAGGGACCTGCATGGAAACGGTATACCTTTATTCAACTTCTACTGCTTGGCTTTTTTATCGATGTGATGTTGGCTTCTTGCGACATCTCCAAGGCTTCAATGAAGAGTTCTACTACCTCTAGCAGATTTTCTCAAGCGTTGGTCCTTCCTTGTTCCTCAAATGACTTCTATAGAAAACCGTGCTTTGCATAGTGCCACGCATTTCACATGTTGATGCTGGAAACGATTTTTTGAGAAAGGATAAGTGAAATAACTTTGATAGCCAGGGTTTTTTTTTTTTTTTTTTTTCAAGCTCTACATGAAGTTAGAGAGTTTCTAATTATCAACTCTTGTCACGTCTGAACACACTAAACATTGTTCATCACATAGATTTTGATCTCAATTGTCTTCAAGTAACAAAAATAAAGTCACTGGCAAATTACATCTGGTAATAGTTATTTTCCTCCAGTGAGCTGGAAAATGATCTAAGTACTTAAATTCTCAGAATCGCATTGCACTCACTTGTATAACAACTAGCTAACGTTGGGCCTCCAAGTGGGTGTGAACGGGGCTATTCTCCAGAGCCTGAGGCAGACAGCCAGGGAACAAAGTAACCGCTGGATGAGGAAATAAAAAGGAGCAACAGTAAGTTAGTTATAGCTCTACTGCTGCTATGCCCAGGATTCATTCACCCTCTGTTTCAGCGCCTCCCTTGGCGCCCCCTTGACACACCGCACGCCAGTTCGAATGGAGTAAGAATGACTAAATATGCTAAAACTAAGCTTGGGATATTTAAATCCCTCGTTGCCCCTCCCTCCGTGGCTGGCACAGCCAGCGCACTTGCCCCTCTCTTTCCGCTACATACCTGAGGTAGAATCGTTGAAGATTTCACTGTGATCGCCAGTTTACATCATCTGCTCGTAAGAACGTGCATACATTCATACATCACCCAACCACGACCGCCGTTGATATACTTCGACACCCAGGAGTTTTTTTACGAAGAAGGCAACTGACCGATTCACCCACGCACAAACAAACCATGGCGGAGTCTCAGGAGCGTGGTGAGGAGATCCTTCGCGTTTTTGGCGCTGCGTTTGGGGAGCTTCTCACCGCCGACCCAGCAGCGTTTCGAGTCAAATTCCGCAAGATGGCCTCATCAGCTTTTGCCTTCTACCGTGGCTCAGCATGTCTGTTCTATCACGACCTGGAGCAGGAGCAGCATGGCGGACCGTATCTGGACGCGCGCACCAGCCGAGTCTGGATCCACGGCGACTTGCACGCAGAGAACTTCGGCACATACATGGACAGCCAGGGCCGCTTGATTTTCAACGTCAATGACTTTGATGAAGCTTACATCGGCCCTTTCACCTGGGACATCAAGCGCTTCGCCGCCTCCGTTGCCCTCATTGGCTATGCGAAGGCCCTCAGCGATGACCAGATCACAAGTCTCGTCAAGACATATGCTGCCGCGTACCGTGAGCGCATCCAAGTCCTTGCCGCGAGTGGTGCGAGCAGCGCCACCAAGAACGAACGTGCGGATGTGCTGGGTTTCACCCTGGAGACCGCTAAGGGCCCAATGCTTGATGCACTGCGCTCCGCCCGCCTGAATACCCGCTTTGGGCTGCTAAACGGAATGACGGAGATCCGCGACTTCGAACGGCGTTTCCGCGCCGGCGGAGGCGCCATCCAACTGGATGACGCGACGCGAGCAAAGGTCCTCGAGGCCTTCGACCGCTACAAGGAGACGCTCCCCGATTCAAGCGGTACTCGCATCCGCCCCCAGGGCCAGCGGGTCAAAGATATCGTTGGCCGTCGCGGCATTGGCATCGGGTCGGCAGGGCTGCCGTCGTTCAATCTTTTGCTTGAAGGGAATAGCGACGCCCTGGAGAACGACATCGTGATCTACATGAAGCAAGGCCAGATCCCGGCCGTATCGGCACACATCTCCGACCCGGCGATCCGCGGATACTTTAAGCACGAGGGCCACCGGACGGTGATTTCGCAGCGCGCGCTGCAGGCATATGCAGACCCATGGCTCGGCTGGACCGAGCTGGACGGCGTAGGTCAGCTGGTTGCAGAGGTTTCCCCCTACGCGGTTGACCTTGACTGGTCGGATATGGATGAGCCGGATGAGATGGCTGCGATCATCGCCGACTTGGGAAGAGCAACCGCCACGATGCATGCGGCGGCAGATAACGAGAGTGGGCATTCAGAGCTGGTGCCGTTTTCCACAGATGAGGCCATCGACAAGGCTATTGCGGCGGACGAGGAGGGCTTTGAGGATATGCTTGTGAAGTTCGCGCACAAGTACGGCTCGCAGGCTTGGCGTGATCATCAGATCTTCGTGAATCTGTTCCGCAATGGACAGATTCCAGGCCTGTGAGGATGGTTTTAGGAATGTCTATTGAATCATTGAGGGATGCTTTACCGTTGTAGTTCCTTCTCGCCGCAGTCAGATTCATGCAATTCTCGATTTCAAAGAGTTTCTTCATATTTTCCCTGCACAGATGTTTATCTTGTTTGTTAAGAAAGTTAAATAAAACAATATAATCAAGAGGGAAAAGAAAAGAAAGGGGTAGATAAGTTAGATAAATAACATTATGCCTTGATTATAACACGCTCATGCATCCTATTTTTGTTAATTATATAGCTTCATTTCAAATGAAATGCCCGAAAAAATAGCCAACTGCATGTAGTAAGGGGACATTTACTAGCAGTTTCAGACGACAAAAAGTACCTTCGCTGGAAGCGCCGGGTCGAAAGCTTCCAAATCCTCCAGACATTGGATACAGAACCTATCATTGAGGAAGAGACGATCGCCACGCCGGATTGCAAGAACCGCAATCGATAGCCTGGCCAGCCAATTCTTGTGCGTCATCGCCACTGGCGATGTGTCAGGTCGCTCGAGGAATTCATCCCAACTTGTAGTTAATGCAGGAGATTTCCTTTGTCCACAAAGTCTCCCTCCTCCCAGCGTTGCATTTTGGGTGGCAGCAGTCGCCGCTAGAGGAAGGCGAATGTGCACAGCCGGATTCGAAGAAGAGCTTATGATCGAATTGCCCGCAGCCGTTTTTGAGGGAGTCGAGGACACCGAGATCGGCAATCCATCGCCCATTGTCGTTTACTGATACGGCTGATTCGACAACATATGCTTCAGCGTCTCGGTGGCCGCGGCCCAGGTCGATAGGGGGAGACCAGTCCGTGAAAGAGAGGTGGAGTCTTGTTCCCCTGAAGGTATCCTCAAGCTGGCCTTCATAGACGGGATGATCAATGGATCTCCAATTGTCGAGTTCTGGTGTCATGACTTGGAGGACTTGGGGGGGGGGGGGGGAGGGACAAGGAGGAGCAGCCCATGCTTTCTGACATTCTCAATCATACGCCGGATGTTGCTGGCCGCCACCTTGTCGGAAGGATCACAAAGGAGCGGAGCACTGATGTATAAGAAGTTTCCTGACGATAGAGCCATAACATTTTCAAATTTGAATGGCGGAAGGTTGACTGTATCAAAATAAGAAATACATGCAAATTGATATTCCCCTGACGCATGCACACTCTTCCAAAAACACCCATGGTTTAACCCAGTGAGCATCATATAATTTCTGCAAAATAACATTAGGATTGATCGTTGCTCCCTAAGGGTCCCAAGCGATCTGTATACCCCGTTAACTTCCACGACCGCATTTCAACGAAGTAAAATAGTCATCATAATTTTTAGCGCGCTGGTTCTTTTCCACAATTGTCCCTATGACCACCTTTGGCGAGTCAAGTTGGTAATTGATTTTGGCGGGATAAAGCTGTTGCGCAAGCTTTTTGCGGTCCACTCTCCCTCGTTCAAGGATCCGGCTAATGTCATCGAAACGGAGCAAATTAGGTTTCCGGGACCACAATGGGCCGCTTGATGCCTGCTTGTACGCTTCGTAAAGGTTAGAAATAACAAAAAGAGAAGCTGAGTTGGGATCGCCGACGAAATGATGGTAGGTGAGCGTCTTGGGCGCCGAATCATTCCCATTATCGCCTGGAGAAGTATTCCGGCCAACCCGCTGTCTCCTGTTGGCGCTCATGGAGAGCAGCACTAAATCCGTCTGATTGTACTTGTCATTGGTAATCTGACATGTCAAGTAAAGTTATGACTTTGGATTTGTTGGATTGAGATTCCATCATGGTATTAACACGCGAGTCACGGAATATATTCGCTTGTAACCTCTCATCGACCCAGCGATGGTGGGTTTTCTGAGGTACCTGCCCGCATTTTATGGTGAGAGGCAACGCTGTAGCGTAGTGAGGAACAACGGTTTCGGTTTTTACTCTGCCAGGTGAACTACTACAAACGGTTGTTGTTGGGACTTTTTCGGAAGTCTCACAGCTATTTAACTAGCGGTTCACATAGTTTGGTCTTCTCTCCTTCTTCCCGCTCTCCTCCGCCCTCTTCTTCCTCTTCTTCTTGTTGTTGTTGATTGAGAAAACCTTTGAATCGGTACCTAATTATTCCCTCGTCTGCTCGAGCCTCCGGGAAGAAAGCGGGAGCATATTCCCTTAGAATATCAATCCTATCTTCATCGTCCATTAGTAGCGGCAGGAAGACTTCGAACTGTACAAGAGAAAAGAGAGGATTCGGATGCGAATTAGGATCGCATAAAAAACTCGAACCCCTCCGCCGCGCGAGATTGATTAGTTTCAGAAGTACGGCGCGTTCGACGCCCTTTGCTTCTACCAACATACAGGCTGCCGATGCAACGATATCTAGCCATTTCGGGTACCGCTGGGCTTGAACAACCTTATGAAGAGTAATAACCATCCTCACTGCTTCTACGGAATTGCGTCCACCGGCGCCCCACCCTGAAATGATCGTGCCTAGGACGAGGACGTCGAACTCGCCGAACTCGTCCATAGTCACACGCGTTGCAGCTTCACTAAGGGTTACATGAGCTTGTACTGGATCGCCATAATATCTGCGAGATGGCGTTCTGTTAAAATATTGGCACGATGCAAGAATAGACACGGCGGTTGAGGAAAGAACATACTTCATGGGTGCTAATGGCAAGGTCTAGTAGACACCACGTTAGCCTTGCACCGGGGAACTTTCTAGCCCGATAGTAAGAATGACACCTTTGGGGAAAATGTAAACGTGTTGGGAAACGAATTTGTCACCAAAAGCCTTATGTCGGATTAGTAGCCAATGGCGACAAGAGAAGCGGGAGAGCAAGGGGAAAGAGGTAAGAAAGCAGTACAGCAAAGGATATGACTTTGGGCTTTCGATTAATGTAACTTACAGCAATATCAGGATACAAATGCCAACTAGAGAGAGCGAGCAGGAGTCCTCCATCATTGGCATTTTGAGATTCCCCATTTACCAGACGGTCCATTCCCACCAAAGCAGAATCTCCAGGCATCGATTGTGCTTGCATAGGTAGTAGTAGACCTTGCATTGACACAGACGGTTATATTATCGAGAATTAATTTCACTTGTGTTTGCTCAATCTTCTTAGCTTGGTCGGCACGCCGCAACCATACACGCGCTTTATTTTCCCATTCTGCAAGCTGTTCCCGCGACATTTGAACGTGTGACGCCAAAAGATCGCCATACCCGAGTGGTTCGGCGTGGTTCACCGTCCCGAGCGCCCTCTTGCGTTCGGCAACTAACTCTGACCAGATCGAAATTGCTTCTGGCGCAGACCATACTCGGGCGCTGTGACGACCATCGTTTTTTTGTTAACAAAAAGCCAATTTCCAAAGATAGCCGAACATGGCCTACAGCATGCATGCCAACAAATGAACCGATATGGTAGGACTCCCAGACGTGGCGGCCGCCCATATCGGTGTTCCATCCGCTCCAATATAATCCGCGAAAATACCGTCACTTCGCAGGCCTTGCGGGTTAATGTCAGACGAGCCCGCAATCTCGGACACTCGTTTCCCATATTCCTCCTCCAACTTCGGGATCGAAGGAACAACTTGTGCAAATGGAGCACCAAAGTTTCCTCGCGGTGATATTCGTAGGCCCAATCTCGGCGGATTCGCGACAATGGCGGGACAGGAGTTTCCAGACCAAGAAATTCCTTTGGAGCCTCCCTTTTTTTGGAGATGTTAGCGTTGGAGAAAAAAACGAGGAAGAGCAAATTGAGTAAACATGAGCAAGACATGGGGTTTTAACTACTTAAACCAGACTGAAAGCAAAATTCAGGTTCGCGAAAGCTAGAGTGGTCTCAACGGTTGGAGCTGTGAGTGACGGTACGAAACGACTTATCAAAACCATCTTGGTAAACCAGAAACTCAGGGAAAATATTTGATGTTGAGCTGAGATTTTGAGATCATAATATGTAAATGCTTGCAGCCCGCTTGATTCCTCGCCATTAGTCCCACCTTACACATTTCGTCGCAAGCATGGAATGTTAGGGTCAATGAAACACAGACGGCTTATTCTACCGCTCAATATAATTTTTTGCCGAAGTTGCAGGCCAAAGGATCCAGTTATCTAGCATCATATTTTCGTCCTCAAAATTAAGTGCTTGCTGCGATTGATTGTTCGGCGAATTAAATCAGCTCCCCTTGTGAAACTACATGCAGAAATGGACAGGCAAAATGTAGTCATCTGAGGCGGGGTAGCTCATGGCAGTTGATATCTCAATTTGCAAACCGGTGCAACCGAAAGCCGGAGGATAAGGTCATCAAGTGTGTGGCTCCCACGATAAATATTCATAGCATCATATCTTCATAGCTCCCAAACCCTCCTTGAACCCACTCAGCGGTTCCACTTCGCATAGGCCCACCGCACCCGCTCCAAGATCCGCAATTGCCGCGCAACACCAACACGCACATTCAAGAGCTCATGAATATCCTCTCTAAACTCATGATATGTAGCCCCGGGCAGAAGATTCTGGGCTCTTTGCGTGAGGATATCGGTTTCGCAGATCAATAGGCCGTGGTCCTTGTAGGAGAGGATGCCATCGTGGGTTGTGCAAGAGGAGGTCAGGACGCGATCGACGGCACTGGTTGTGGAGTACATCAGTGAGTTTTTTTTGATGCATATGTATGTTTGGGGAATGGCTAGAATGTGGTGGATGGAACATACCTGAGTGCGCGGGTCATTTCTTCTTGTTTCTTCCCCCGTCGGAGGCCTGCCCTGTTTCCGAATGCTCCACTTACCCATCGGAGTGCGGCGTAGGAGACGAGGATTCCCGGTGTAAGGCCGACAAACCTGGGGAAAAAATGAGTGAGCGAGTCTTCTAGGTGCAAATGAAGGCGAAGAATGGAGAGAAGTAGTTACCCAAAAACCAATTCCTGGCTCTTCAACAGCGCGTCAATGCCACCGATTGCAATCTCCACGTCCACCTTGGTTTTCTGAATCTGTATCAGCAGCGCACGAATCAAATCTCCCCGCACTGTTCCAACGAACGGTTTTCGTAGATCTCGCTCGTATGCTTTTAGGACGGGAGTTAGGTCCCCCTCTTTAACTTTGGAGCGGAGCAGATCGATATCTGACTGAGTCCATGATTTATGATCCGAGACATCCTTGGCGAAGTCGACGACCATCCTTTCGAGGCTGGCTCGATCCGCTTCCAGACTGCCTTTGCTCATTATGGCGACTTCGCTCGTCTCGTCGTGCCGTATTGTCCCGATGAGTCTCCTTAAGGGGTCTATGACCCAATTCGCCCAGAAATCAACCATTGTAGAACCAAGTTCGGAGATCCAGGTCCATATTTCGGCGCGTCTATTTGTTAATGTATTTAGGATTGTTCCGAGGGAAAAACACAGGGCCGACGCAGGTATCCAGTAGCGAATGATCTTAGAGGGGTAACCGTATTTTTTTATTAGAGCCTCAGTAGATGTCCGTTGGCTGGGCAAAGATTCCTCTAGAACATGTATTAGTTGTTGGAAAATGTGCGATGGATGTTCTACTGCCGGGACCCGATGCTCAACACCCGCAAACACAGTGTCTTCAAACACGGCAACCTTGCCATCACCTCCGCCGACGTTTTCCAGGACGACACGCAGAAGAACGACAGTCCGTCGAACAACATCTTTCCAATCCCCAAGATTGTCCACATAGCCATTACTAGCGTACCCGGCTTCTTCTTCATCCTCCATCTCAAAGATCAGGCCTTCCTCCACAAGCAGTCCAATAGCACATGCATTAATCTCCCGAATATTCTTCAAATGCTTCCGCTTCGATCGAACCTGCGAGCGTGACAACGCAAACGGCGACAAAATCCTCATCATCTGCGCCTGCACCGGGGACCGCTCCTTGATACTCTGATGGACAAGGTTATAGAAATTGCTCCAGCGGCCGGACAATGACCCAGATGAAACGCCCAGGTCCTTATCTAGCGCCTGCAACCGACGCCGCCGGAACGTGTGGAAGACATCCTGCGCCTGATGCCAGAGCCTAACCGGTAGCATCTGCATGGTATATAGGCCAGTGTAGAAATGGGAGCTCAGGACTTCATCCCAGTACCAAATGCCATCATTTAGCGGCATGCTATCTTGTAGCAGCGCGCGCATTACCATCCCCAGCGTCTGCACGGTGGCCTTTGCGGCGATGATCCATTGGAGATCTGTAATGTAGCCATCTTCTAGCCCTGCAGCAGTGGTTTGAAGGGAGGGCGCTGCTGATCGGTGCAAAAGCTGCAGGAGATGGGAGCGAGGCAGGAGGGGCCGTGACGGGGAGCCCGTGGAGAGTGCTCTTGCAATTGCAGTCAGCGCAGTTATGGTCTGCTGGGTTGTTGCTAAAGTTTCATCGTGCACGTCCGATGGCTTTTCGGCGGCGGCAGCAGTTGACTTGTGGGCGGATTCGGAGATGTGCAATTGGATCCTGTCGATCTGTGCATCTAGCCGTCGAACTTGCCTGGGATTTAAGTCGGAATTAGAACGAACGACAAGCGGAGCAACGGCGGTAGTGTAGTATAGTGTGGTATATGGTAGGGTAACCTTCCAATCCCGCTTTCTATAGAGGGGGGGAGCGGAGGATAAACTACGTCAGCGGGGAGGAAGGGCTTACTCAGATATTATTGACATGTTCGTGCTTGACCAGGGCGCTATTCTATTTGAACTTCATCTGGCTAGGAGTACAGCAACATCGGGGTGCCATTTAATAATAAAGTAGAGTAAACAATGAGTTTTTTGCCCGAACACATAAGCATATAACTAAAGGTTGTTTTCTAGGAGATTGATAGAGAGAGAGAGCAAAAAAAAAGAAGGAAGAGGTTGGGTGGTTGATGCAAACAGGGCAAACTAGCTACATTGGGTAGGAAGCTCCAATCACCACGATAGGAAACGCCTTTGCCGGAGATGGATATAATAATAATATACGTATGTTCTGGCGGTATCTGTCTGAGGGGAGGGGATAATTAATTGGACCGATTCTTGGTTCCTGGAAATATCTGAACAACATGTCATAGTTACTTAAAAATCTCACACGGATTGAGACCATAAACCCGCTCCGTCCCGGGGGTAAGATCGCGGGCATCGCCCGTGGCCTGATTGCAAGGTGATCCATCCTCCAGTCTGGTAGCGTGTGTGTGTAACTATGTATATATAGCTTTCTCTGTAATATATGTATGTATATATGTACTCCGTATGTATTGTATATATAAATTCGGAACTGGTTCGGATGCAATCATCAGACCATCAGACCAGACGGTGCAGAGGATCCGCTAGTCTACTTCCGGTTAGTCAGAGGCGGGTCCCGGTCCAGGAAATCCCGTGCCGAACTGGTAATTACGGGGAATTACCGTCACAGGGTGGTCAATATCGCATTCTCATTGGTTAACTCCGGTAAAATAGCTCCCAAGCGCGGTTTGCTTACGGGGCGATTCAGGCTTGGCAAGTGTTAGTCAGCAATCCCTCCACCCCCGTATCCTTTTTCTTTTATCTCCCATTATTTCTTCATCTTCTTCACGACTTCAACAACAACGAATTGCTGCGGACACGACAATCACGCTGCTGGGCATATAATAATAGGAAACATCCCTTCTTCCCTAGGATATTTTTGTGTCTAGCAAACACCATTTCTAATAGATACTGGTCACGACTTCAAAATGTGAGTGTTTTCATTCCTTCCATCGATTGCGCTGCTCTGGAAGCCCCCCTGGCTAGCCAAATATCCTAATATCTTTGCCTCGTTTTCACAGGAATTCCACACTCCTTTCTCCTCCCCAGGAGACCTACTGGGGCCAATTCGAGGAAATCTCAAAGTACAATGTCCACCTTAATTTCGCAGAGCGAATGTGGGCTGCCTGGTATGCCTTCATGCAAAACGATGTCCTCGCCACGGGCATCATGTCCTTTGCCATGCACGAGATTGTCTACTTTGGACGCGCCCTCCCCTATATCATCATGGACCAAATACCCTACTTCCACAAATATAAGATCCAAAGGGTATGTTGAAAACCAAGCACGCACGTCTATGTTCCCTCCCGTATACTATTGCTTTTTGCGCTAACATTGATAATTTCACACCCGTCAGGACAAAATGCCCACTCTGAAGGAACAATGGGATTGCGCCAAACTCGTCCTCCTCAGTCATTTCACCGTTGAACTCCCACAAATCTGGTATGTTCTTCAAACCAATTCAAATAAAACAAATTATATATGTCTCTCTCTCTTTTTTTTTTACTTACACTCACCCTGTAGGTTATTCCACCCCATGGCTCAATACTTCGGTCTCGAAACCAGCGTCCCCTTCCCCTCCCCGTGGACCATGGCCTACCAAATCGCAATCTTCTTCGTTCTTGAAGATGCCTGGCACTACTGGTCGCACCGCGCCCTGCACTGGGGCCCTCTGTACCGCGGTATCCACAAGATCCACCACCAATACTCTGCTCCCTTCGGCCTTGCCGCTGAATACGCCTCACCCATCGAAGTCATGATCCTCGGCATCGGCACTGTCAGCTCGCCCATCCTCTGGTGCGCCATCACCGGCGACCTGCACATCCTCACCATGTACGTCTGGATCATCCTGCGTCTGTTCCAGGCCATCGATGCGCATAGCGGATACGAGTTCCCCTGGAGTCTTCATCATTTCCTGCCCATCTGGGCCGGCGCGGATCATCATGACGTCCACCATGAGAAGTTCATTGGCAACTTTGCGAGCAGCTTCCGCTGGTGGGATTACTGCCTTGACACGGAGTATACGCCCGAGGCTGTGAAGAGGTGGAGAGAGAAGAAGATTGCACAGTCGGCGAAGAAGGCGCAATAGTTCTTCCCAGTTGACGTCTGTTTACTCTTTCTTCCGTCTTCCTAGTTCTGGCGCGCAGAGATGTTAAGTGTGACTGAGCTGTTTTTTACTCTCCGGTCGCTCGGTATATCCAACAATATCCTCCATCTACCCTTCTAACATTTTGCTATCCGGATATTTCCTTTATGTCTTCTTTCAATTCTCGTCATTATTTTCAACCCCATCCCTGTTGCTTTTGGGTTAGCACCCGAACGGGGATTATTCTATTTGTTTTATTGCTCTGGAGTACCCATGCTGCTTAAGCCCTCATACTGCCTACCTACTCATTCACCCTCTTATTTGATACTTACTTCCCCTTCTGTCTCCCTCACATAAATATTTTTTGTAATCGTATTATATAATCCCTGTGTGTTGTTTTCATAAGTTTAGCTTGTCTTTTCTTTTCGCTTTTTTAATGTTCGTATTATTATTATTATTATTATGTAGATTAGATGAAATATTAAATACATGAATTAATGGTTCAAAAGAAAAGCGAAAAGAGAGGTGATAGAATGGCAGCAACTTGGCATCAAGCACCACTCGATTATATAAGCAACCTAATTTTTGAACATCCATCTCGCAAAAAGTTCTGGTGTTGACCATCCCCCAGCTGAGAAGCCTGCCTATCGCTAGCAATATTTGCAATATTTGTTCCGTTCAAGGAAGTACTGTATCAATCTTTTTTCCACGCCTACTCCTCGTCTGCCGCGAAAGAAAGAAAAATCTAGCCAACATGGGTATCCAGAAGAGAACGCGCAAATTCGCTCAGGTTCGTTGCCTCGATGCGAGTTACAGCTGGCAGAAAGAAATGACCGAAAGCAGCTAACGGACTAATTCATATATAGGTGAAAAGAGCAATTGGTAGCCGTGATAGCCGGTTGTATGTTATGCTGCTCCTTTTTTGAACCTCCTTTCCTGGCGCAGAGAAAGAATTCTATATATTCGCCCGTCACTACTGATCATGCAGGCCATCTTAGCTAACCATTCTATCCATTCCAATCGCATAGAAAGCAGAACCAAGCAAAAGCACCACAGAAGGGCAAAGACGAGAAGAAGAACGATGACCTTGTCCGAGAAATGTAACCCCCCACCAGCATCTCCATCCATCCCCATCCAGACCATCAAAATCACTAATCACAAAAAAAAATACCAAACAAAAACAGCCCCCAAGTCTCCTCAGCCCTCTTCTTCCAATACAACACAGCCCTGACACCCCCATACTCCATCCTCGTCGACACAAACTTCCTCTCGCACACCGTTCAGCACAAACTCGAGGTGATCCCCACAATGATGGACTGCCTATACGCCAAATGCATCCCGATCGTGACCGACTGCGTGCTGGCGGAGTTGGAGAAGCTGGGCCCCAAGTACCGCATTGCGCTGCGCATAGCCAAGGACCCGCGCTTCGAGAGACTCAAGTGTGACCATAAGGGCACGTATGCGGACGATTGTCTTGTTGATCGGGTTATTAAGCATCGGGTTTATATTGTGGCGACGAATGATAGGGATTTGAAGAGGAGGATTCGGTAAGTTTTTCTTCTCTCTCTCTCTCTCTTTTTTTTTCTTTTTTTCTTTCGAAAAAGCATGTCAGCATTTGTATGAAATTGCTGTTTGGAATCGGATGGTTTTGACATCTTAATTTTCCCCTTGTATAGGAAAATCCCCGGTGTACCCATTATGAGCGTCGCGCGGGCGAAGTATGTTATTGAGCGGCTCCCCGACGCGCCTGAGAAATGAATATCACGTCCTATGCAGCTTCTTCTACAAGTTATCTGGGCCGTAGGAGGTTGGCCATATCTATCTTAAGCCCACGAATTCATGACTACTCATCTTGTCAACTCCGAGGCTGGTGCGGGGAGGACAAGTGATTCGTGTGCTCTCCAAAAAAATAAAGCAGGACAGCAGCATCTCCAACGGTGGCAACGGATGATGGCCTGACCATGCGCGGAGCGCAGAAATTGTTTTCCATTTGCTATTTCACTCCATGCAACAAATAATGGGATACAGCGGCCTATCCTTTTAATGGCTGGTCAGGGCACTCAAACCCTGTCGCGTGGCGTGATATCTGGGCGGATCCTGGGGACTCCGGCCACGATCCGGATGCACGGCGCTCGGCCCACTCGGTGCCGCAACGTCCGTATCCTAGTGTAGGTGGAACCACAACGGGTAGCTTTGACTTTGCTTCTTAGATGTCGTGCCACTTGGATCGAGGCCGTTGGAACAGCCTTCTTACGAGCAATATGAGCATGGGTGGGATTATGTATTGCTGAGCTTCATGGCGAGTGGATCTCGCTGGGCTGGACATGGTCTCGTCTAGTCCGGCCTACTGCTCATTTGTTGGGATTGTTGCGTTTTGAGATATGTATAGCTTATAGAAATTCCAGTTCTAATGAGATTATGAAAGAAATGGTTTGGCTTGCTTTGGCAGTTTGATGGACATCTGTTGGAGTGACATAACCATTCCATTATTTGTATACCATACCGTAACCACCTTGGAAGTCGTGCTCAGGGCTACCTAGGTAGCTGGAACAAATCACGTGGAGATAAGATAAGATAAGATCCGCTGCGACTTTCCAAAAATTCAGATTCCAATTTCACCCCAACACCAGACGCCAACGATAGCCATCAACATTCTAGTAGCGAAGGCTTTTATGATCCATTAGTTTAATACATCCTCCACATGACAGGTACAGGCGAGGCCATCCGAAGCAAACCCTCCCATCATCCTCGTTTCCACCACCCGCCATAACCAAAGAAACCCAACCCCATGAGCTATCACGATACAAATGGGCATCCGATACCTAACACAACACCTCCTCCCGCACGCGCAAACCGTCTGGCTGCGGAATACAAAGAATCACGACCAGAACGTCAAAACCATCAGTAGCGTGGTGGTAGATGGCCCCGCGCTGGTGTATCATGTCTACAGCCGGCTGCTGTCGTGGAGCGGGGTGGATTACAATGTCGTGGATGCGCAGCCATCAGCGAATGAAGTTAGCATTGGTGTTATGCAGTTTTTGTTGTGTTTGAGGGGGTTGGATGTGAGGATGTACGTTGTGTTTTTCATTCCGTTCGCGATAAACTGTTTCCCTTTGTTTTGGGTTACTTTAGATGATGTGCCTTTAAACTAATTCGCAATATCCCCTCTCCCCTCCCCCTTTTCCTAAACAGAGAGAAAATCTTCTTCGACGGCGCCCTGCCACTTTCAAAACGGCCCGTGCGCTTCGAGCGCATGGAGGCAACCAGACGAAAACTCCGAGAGCTCTGTCGCGACACGGCGGGGGGTTTCAAAACGCCCACCATCCGCAGAAAAGCTCTAGATATCTGCCCGGAGAAAATATTCGGTCGACGCCCGTTACCCCGTCGTTTCAAGCCCATGCCGGAATCGGCGTTTGTGGTTCCGACGGTCATTGAAGACTTGAAGTATCGATGGAGTCCGGAGGAGGTATTGAGATGTACTGCCGGTGTGCCGGAATTACAGAAGGTTATTATTACGGCATGTGGGAATACGGAAAATGACAATGAGAATGATGGAAGCATATTTGCGGAAATAACGGAGGTTGTACCAGGGGAAGCTGATGTGTACTGCGCAATTGCGGCAAGGGACTCGGGCTGTGCAGTTCTCACGGGCGACTCTGACCTGCTCGTGCACGACCTCGGCCCGGAAGGCTCAGTGATATTTCTCGATTCGCTTGAAACGGGTGAGCCACTGCCAAACGATGCTCTGCCGGTGGCGGGCGCAGAGCCGGATATTGCAAGCAGAATAAGCATACGAGCAACCCAAGTACGGCCCGCGGCAGTCGCCAAGAAATTGGGCGTGCCCAGTTTCCTGCGCCTCGCCTACGAGGTGAAAAGGGATCCGCGCGCGTCGTTTGCGACAACCATCCAGCGCGCCAAGGGGAACGCGGATGTCGTTGAGAAAAGCGCTAAATATATCTCGTTTCTGAAGGAGTATGATCTCATGGCCGCCGCCACCACCAGCGGGTCGGTGTGGACTTCTTCTAATCCCCTCGCAGTCATCACGGACCCCAAGCTCTCCGAGCTGTATGCGCAATATGAACTGCCCTCCTTCGCGATGCCTGAGGAAGGGGCCCATGTTTATCTCCAGGTTTTGATTGAGCGCCATGATCGGCGCGCGGCATGGATGGAGGGCAGCGAGTTGCGGTTACTCGCCTACTCGCTATTGAACCTGGGATACCCTGCGGGCGACAAGGGGAAACGAAAGGAAGCTGTGATTGAGCATATGCGCAAGGGGAGGCGGATAGCGGCTATCCCGCTAACGCTTCTGGCAGAGAAGGAGGCGGAAGAGAGACTCGAGGCTTTTGTGCAGCAGGTTAATACGTTTGTTTCGTCTGTTGATAATGATGATGGTGGTGATGATGAGAGTAGCGCCTGTGAGCCGGCCGTCCGGTGGAGGGCTTTTGCGCTATATGACGTCCTTGCGCGCATGGGGCCCGACGAGCGATTGGCTACAGGGAAGCTGCGCCGGTTCCTGGAACGGGGGTACTGCGGGGAGAAGCTCGAGTGGGATGACATCCACCTCCACGCGCAGATGAAGGCGGTGCTGTACTCGCTGAGGGTGCTAAAGGAGGTCCTTGTTGTGGGCGAAGACACGGCGAAGTCTGGTTCGGTTGGCGAGAGATTGGTTGAGTTGATGGGTGAGGCGGGTGGCGTGTTGCGCGACTTGCCGTGGATGCGGGATTGTGCGCAGCGGACGGGTGGGATCGGGGGTGGGATTGAGAATGGGGAGGCCGCGCGAAGGGTGATTGAGGGGTTGATTAGCCTTCTCGACGAAGGGGAGGGAGAAATGGATGTGATTGAGGGGTCTGATGTGTTTGGAGCGTCTGCCTGCGACCAGAGTGGTCATGGACTGCTCGAGTCTTCTACGGCTGGTGCCGAGGAGGCATGGATCGTCGCGGCGAATTTGCCTGGCAGTCGGAAAAGGAAGAAGGGGAGGTCGAGCAGCGGTGGGGTGGAACAAGGAGCACCAATAGTCGCGAAGAATGCAATGAATATGTATGATATCCTCCGGCAGGTTGATTAAGTATCCTATATGCGTTCTTGTGCGTGTGCGGTCGGGAATGATATCTTCATGGAAACAGTTTCCGGGACTCCCACCCATTTCTTATTAGATGCAATGACCAGTAACTATGAATCTTGCGAAGGATAGCTCAGCTCAGGCGGCCAAAATGAAAGTGAGCCAAATTCAAGAATGTATATATAAGAATAAAGGGACGGGACAATCAAATAATACAAAGACCAACGACGCCGTTAAAGACATAAAATGGCGTAACACTACAAAAAGCAAAAAGAGAAAAGCAATCCATCCTGACATCACACTGCTGTGGATAAAAAGTAGAAAAAAGGAAGAATAAGGATAACGCAAAAACCAATAATCATAACACTCATATACTCTCTTTAAAAACACTCTTCCGATCAGACGATCTCCCCCGGTCATCATCAGCAGCCGCAGCCGTCACAGCACCAGCACCAGCACCAGTACCATCCCCACCACTACTACCAGCAGCAGTAGGCTGCTCATCCCCCACCGCCGGTCGCGAGCTAACATCCCTCAACTGGCTCGTCTCCGCCGCATCTGAAAAGGGATTCACACCGCCGGCCGGCCTGCTATACGAGGGCGGCTCCCGACTCCGGCTCCGGCCCCTCTCGACATCCTGCTCGGGTTCCCTAGCGTGCAAATCAACCGTCACCGTACTCGCAGCCGGCACGACTCTCGCACCAGCCTCCACCCGCCCGCCCATATCATACGGCCCACTCCCACCCCCGCCCCGACCCCCACTCCCCTCCCCATGCCTCCCCATCCCCAGCTCCTGCTCCTCATAATACCCCGCGCCAGCCCCGCCATACCCGCCCTCGCCGATCCGCGAATCCCAAATCTCATCATGCGCATACCCAGTACCACCACCGCCGCCGCCGCGAGAGCCCGCGCCAGGATGCAGCGGCGACTCATACGCGCCCCGCGCCGTCCGCCGGTTGCGCACGGCGGCCCATTTGTCCCTGAACCAGTCGCCGACGCCGCCGGGGCGCGGGGTTGGGTAGCTGCTGTCTCTGTGGTAGTAGGAGGAAGAGGAGGAGGTGAAGGGGATGTAAGATTTTAGGGGCGGAGGGGGCAGGCCGGAGCGCCGGGCGCGGTAGTGGGTGAAGCCTATCCAGGCGATGTAGGCGGCGAGGAGGAGGAGGAGGATTATTATGAAGATGAGGAACCAGCGCATGGTGCCTTTTTCTTCTTTCTTTCTTTCTTTCTTTATTTCTATGTTGTTTTATTTTTATTTTTTATGTCGGGGAGTTGGTGAGTGCTATTTTATTTCATTTAATTCAATTTATTTTCTGTCTTCGGACGGGGGGGCGGGGACGGGGATTTGTCGTCTCACCCGAGTTGTTGAGATGGCCGCGGAAATGGTGTAATTTGTTGTGATGGGGGATGGGGCCAGGGTCGTCTAACTTGCAAGAATAGTATGGTAGGGCCTCCTTTTATCGATATTCGGGGCTCGTGGGAGGGTCGAAGATAACTGGGGCTACCTATGCCTGACTGGCAATGGAGATCGACTCGGAATGCATGGGGAGAGAGACGTGCGGGATCGCTGGTGCATGTGCATACATACATACGTATGCAGGCTTAGTTAGTTCTGGCGATGTTCCAGTCGGGAAATATGGCGACAGGAAGATAGATAGGGAGAGTGAATGAGAGAGAAAAAGAGATAACTAGAGGGAGAATATGAGAATATGAGAGAGAGAGAGAGAGAAAAAAGACATAGCGAGGAAGTGATGATGATGGATGGATGTGGGAACTGACGGCTTAGTCATTCACCGCGGTAAGATGCCTGTACGGTACGGTACGTACTCTCATCACCAACCCAACCGCGGATATAACTTGAACATTAAAAAAGACGAGAATAGAATACCAAATTGATCTATATCTCATCTCTATAAAATAAGCTTCCATAATACTCTGAAGAGCCATCTCTTCCTCCCCACGCTGGCATGCTGAGGGGTTCCTCCTAAATTCTCGTTGATCGACTAGTAATTTTGGATGTAACAAGAACCGAAACGCTGGCATTTCCTGTTCGGGCACTAAGAGCACGTGGCGGCTCTTGGCGCGCGGTTGCCGCCATAATCTAGGCTACTTTAGGAATAGTGCGGACATCAGGTCTCAGCCTCATCTGCCTTTGCTTGCGCTATCATAGAACGGGGGCTGGCGGGATTTATTTTTAGACCACTGTCGGGGAATTAAATTTTTTTTTATTTTTTTTTTTTTATTTTTTTTGGGTATTATACGCTAGAAAGATAAAGGGTTTCGGTTTACACTCTTGCCTACCCATCTCCATGTCCTGTCCTTGTATTATAGCTTCGTTTTACCTCGCAGAGCGCAAAAATCCCACAATCCCCCTACAATACCCCACCAACTCCGCCAACCTCCTCCCCTCCCGCTCCTGCTCAACCTTCCACTCCCCCAGCGCCTCCCGCAACGCTGTCCTTGTCCCCTCTGCTTCCCCCTCACCATCACCACCATCATCACCATCATCATCATTCCCCTCCCCATTCTCATCTTCCCCAACATCAACAACATCCCCATGCACCCGCAAAAACACAGCCATCCACGCATTCACAAGCTCAAAGTCCCTCCTCGTCCGCAACTGCGCTGTCAGCGCCTGCACGAACGCTACCAGCTCGTTGATAGCGCCGTGTCTATTCCCACTTAGCAGGCCTGGGTCGAGAGAGCGGATTTCTAGATCGGCTTTGGCCGGGGGGAGGGATTTGAGGTAGGCGATGAAAGGGTCATAGGGGTTTCCGGTTTGCTTCGTACTATTGCTGGAGGCGGAGGAGCAGGAATGGAGGAGGGTGGTGAATTTGGATGCTTGCATGCTGGGGTCGTTGGCGCGTTGGAGTTTGGCGATCCGGGAGCGTTCGGCTGGGGTGGTCTTTTTGGTTTCTGAGGTGTCTTCTTCTGCCCCTGCTGCTGGGATGAGCGAGGTAGAGTCGGAATCGGGTTTGGTGAGGGTGGAAGGGAGGAAGAAGGGGGCTTTCTGTGGGACCTTTGGGGGTTCCTTGGGTTTGTTTCGTTCCTGTAGTGATTTGTTGTTTTAGTAAGTCAATGAATCCAGCCATAGTGGTTTATTGGGAAATAGTTCGTTCTCACCTTAATAACATCAAGATGCAAGAGCGTCTGCCACCTGCTCTTTGGCGTAATACTCAACGTCATCATATCACTACTCAACTGCTCCGTCGGCAACACAAGCGGCCCCTCATCACCTCCATCCCCCGCATCCTCCTCAAACGCAGCTTCCAAGATCGCCGCCCCACCCTCCCCCGACGCCGTCGGCGCGCTCACCTCCACAATAGCATCCTCCTCAATATGCTTCGTCGGGACATGCGTGAACAAGCTTCGATTATTCCAAATACTCACCCCAACCCCATCTGCATGCGCCGTCGCCAGGAACTCGCCTGTCACCGACATCGCGAGCGCGGTACACGTATTCGCCAGACGGAAGGCATCGATCAGATGGCCTGTTGGCAGGTCCCAGACGCGAATGACGGAGTCCATGGATGCGGCGATGATCCAGCGGCCGTCGCTGGAGACGCAGAAGTCGTTGATCTGGCCGATGGCGCCCCAGAGTTCGCGGACAAGTTTGCGCGTCTCGATATCGATGACGCGGATGGAGAGGTCGTCGCAGCTTAGGGCGATCAGGTCGCTGGAGGCGTTCTGGCGGAGGCCGGTGATAGAGCACATGGGATGCCAATCTAGTTCGTGCAGGAGTTGGCCCGTAGTGAATTTCCAGAACTGCGGGAAATATGTTAGAGTTGTATAGTCGTTGTAGTATGTGGATGGATATATATATATGTATATGGTTAAAACAAACCTTCACTTTCCCATCAAGCCCACAGCTTATAACTGTAGTATTCAGTGCGTCAACCATCAACCCTGTAACGGCGCTGGTGTGTTTTCCCTCGCCCATTTGGAAGCCTCGTTTGCCGCTGGCCCCAGTCTCCATATCGTCCATTTCATCCAATTGCATGATCTTCAACTTCCTCGCTTGGGCGGGAGTTACCCGCGCTGGGAACGACTGTCGATGCATGCCGGATTGCAGATTGTACATGTCAATTGAGCCACCCGCGGACCCGACTAGTGCAAAGGTGCCACACGGCGAAACAGCGACGCTCTGTGGAGAGTTGGGTTAGTTGTCTTGTAAATCTTAATCTGGCCCTTGAATCCACAGCGATAATAAAAGGGGAAAAGAGAAAAAAAAAAAAAAAGAAAGAAAGAAAGAAAGAAAGAAAGAAGCAGAAAAGGAGACAACAAACCTTAACCTCCGTACCATCACGCGTTGCAAAAGCCCATCGCCCAGCCTTCTTCCTCCCCCAAAACCAGGTCCGCGCAAACCTATCACCCCGATGGCCCGTAACAACACTCTCCCACCCAGTCAAATTAGTTGACTCCGTAGTGCCCCCCTTCACATTAGCCCAGGCCGGCCCGCTCGCACCCGCAGCGCCCGCTGCAGTCCCCATGCCCCCATCCCTATTCAACGAGCACGCCACACAGGTAATCTCGGGCGTTTTAAAGTCCTCCGTCCGCGCCCCTAGATAACCCTTCTTCTTACTCTTTTGCTTCACATGGCCCTGCGACAGCTCCGTGCTCTGCGAATCCTTCCGCAGACTCAGGCCCCATAGACTCCGATCCTTGCTGGCGCTGAGAATCCATTTGCCAACGGCGTCGGAGTCGTCGGAGGAGGCGGGGAGGAAGCGGAGGGTGGTGATGGGCGCCGAGTGGCCGCTGCGTGAGTGCAGGGGCCGAGGGACCGGTGAGAAAGGGGTCTCGTCGAAGATCCAGGAGCGGAGCGCGTTGTCGGTGCCTGTGGATACTAGGACGGGTTGGCCGTTTAGGAACTCGATTTTGCTGATGCCGGGTTCTTCGGAGGAGGAGGAGGAGGATTCGTGCGCGTCGCGGAGGACGCCGGTGACTCTGCCACCGTTGTTCAGGTCCCACATGGTGATGTCGCCGCTGTCGGCGCTGGCAGTGGCCATGACGCCTGCTTTGCGGCCGTCGTGGCCGGCGCCTAGATCGTCGGTGCGGAAGGAGATGCAGGTGATTGGCGAGATGGGCGCGGTCGTTGAAGCTGAAGCGGGAGAGCGGAGTTGTAGGACGGCCTGGTCCGTTCTGACGTTGTGGATGGTCAGGGCTCCGCTGCTGTAGGCGATTGCGAGAAGGGAGAGGGCGGGTGTAGGCTCCATGGCCGTCACGGCGCCTGCGTCTGGGGTTGTGGGGAGGATGGTGTAGACCAGTTTCCCCGTGGAAAGGTTCCAGATATCAATGCTGCCATCCTGGCGGCCGGCGAAGATCTTGTTGAGGTATGTGGGCATGTTGCATATCCGGCCCGTCAGGACGCGAGTGGCACCCCCCTTGGACGATGCTGATCGTTGACTGGGAGGGGTGAGGGTCGTGTAATGCTCGAAGGTCGTAGACTTCCACACGCGAATGGTATTGCTGCCGCAGCCAACAATCCACGAGCCAAACACTAGCAGCTGCTCAATCGGTTCGGTTGTCCCTCCTGTAGTTGCTGGTGAGGAGGGCAAGGGCAGTTCTCCCACTTTCTTCCCACGTTTGAACACCCAGATACCACCACCCCAGGCAGCCAACACCTTGTCCTTCCAGGCACATATTGCCGTTATAACTGTGGGGGTTTGGGGGCGTGTGAGGAAGACCAGGCTTAGGCCACGGCGGAGGTCGTAGGTCTGCAGGGATCTGCCGACAGAGGTGGTGATTTGGAATGTGGTTTTGCCCAGCGGGACAGAGGTGAAGGGCACAGTGGTTGGGGATACAAGTCCTAGAGTCTTTTATATATTTTCAATAGAGATTGTTAGTTAGGTCTATTATTTCCAGATTTTCTCTCAATCCCCAAAGAAGGAATATATAAAAAAAAAAAATGAGAAGAACGCACTCTGAAGGGTGAGAATATCCGCGAGCTCGGAGGGAGAGGAGCAGCAGTATCTTTCGAGACGAGCTGGCCTGGGGCGACCTTCTGTCTCTTCGCGACAGGGAACCCAAAGGCGTCGCTGTCAATTGACGACAGCATGGTGTATGGTATGTATGTGTGTGAATATGAGCTGGTTGGTGTGCTAACTATCTCAGACCGTCATGTTGTGTTGTTTTTTTTTTTTTTTGAGGGATGAATATTTTTCTCTTTTTCTTTTTTTCTTTTTTAAAAATTTAAATATTATTCCGACGTTCCAAGAGGACGGAAGAGGCGTTTTGGCTAACTTATTTAGCTAGGTATTTTCTTTTTCTGGTTAATTTTTGTTAGTTGAATATATTTTCTGCCAGGAGGGGGTTTTTGCCGTTTTGGGATATTTAGATGCAGAATATCATAAATATTTTCTTTCATATTTATTGGATGAATCAAGATCTCTCTCTCACTATCCATCCATCAGCTAAATAGTTACAGGTAAAGGTAACTAGATTATATCCGCATATAATTAAGTATTATCTAGTTAAATAAGTATTTAAATAGTTAAGTTACTGCTGCTTGATGCCGCACAATTTGCCATTGAACCCATCTTGGCGGGGGATTTCCTTTTCTAAATAATCGCGGCCCTGTTATTAAATATTTACTAAATATAATAATAATAAACAGCTTTCGGTTCTTTCTTTATCGTTTAAATATTTATCACCTGCTAGCATCATCTAAATACTCCGTAACGTTACTATTTAATAAATAAATACATCGACGAAATAGACAGCAGCCAGCAGGATAGGAACCAGCATATTTACAGCACAGATCCACAGCACTGGTTGCGCACAATAATAACTCGCAGGAGCTATTATTTAGCTAAATATTTAACTATTTACTTCATATTATATTGCTTCTTCCGCTGAACTGCCAGGTATTTAAGCCCAACTTCGCTATCCCTATAATATTATTTATATATATATATATATATATATATATATATATATATACTCCGTATATATGTCCAAATGGCGGCGGATAGCATGGACTCGGTGAATGTTATTAT